CGACCTTGGAACCAAAGCACATGTGCTGTGTATGTAATGTTAACAGCAAGGTTTACCGTGAAAGAGTGTAGCCATTGTTCTAGAAAATGTGTCTTTTTAAATACCACTGCCTCTCTTTTTTTTTTTTTTCTCCACCAGCTGCATGTGTTTCAATGATCACAGGATCTTTTCCTTCCCACAGGCTAGTGAAGATTAGAAGGCGAAAAAAACGCATTCATGATGAAATGTTCTCTGAGCTCATGCTGTCCTCCCACACTGACATAGCACAGATGAATGCGTGGAGGCAATGTCAGAGTGCAGGAAAACACAATATGACCAGGAGGAGAGGTGGCGGGCTGAAGAGAGGGCTGAAGCTGAAAGGTGGCGGCAGTGTGATGAGAGGAGGCATGATTCAATGCTGAGGCTGCTGGAGGATCAAACCAATATGCTCCAGCGTATGGTTGAGCTGCAGGAAAGGCAGGAGCACAGACCGCTGCTACAGCTCCTGTGTAACCAACCACCCTTCTCCCCAAGTTCCATAGCCTCCTCACCCAGAGGCCCAAGAACGCCGTGGGGGGCCTTCGGCCACTCCACCCCAGAGGATTGCTCAAGCAACAGAAGGCTGGCATTCAATAAGTTTTAAAGCTTTAAACTTTTAAAGTGCTGTGTGGCCTTGTCCTTCCCTCCTCCACCACCCCTCCTGGACTACCTTGGTAGTTATCCCCCAATTGTGTGATGAATGAATAAAGAATGCATGAATGTGAAGCAACAATGACTTTATTGCCTCTGCAAGCGGTGAGGAGGGGAGGGTGGTTAGCTTACAGGGAAGTAGAGTGAACCAAGGGGCGGGGGTTTTCATCACGGAGAAACAAACAGAACTTTCACACCGTAGCCTCTCCAGTCATGAAACTGGTTTTCAAAGCTTCTCTGATGCGCACCGCGCCCACCTGTGCTCTTCTAACCGCCCTGGTGTCTGGCTGTGTGAAACCAGCAGCCAGGCGATTTGCCTCAACCTCCCACCCCGCCACAAACGTCTCCCCCTTACTCTCACAGATATTGTGGAGCGCACAGCAAGCAGTAATAACAGTGGAAATATTGGTTTCGCTGAGGTCTAACCGAGTTAGTAAACTGCGCCAGCATGCTTTTAAACATCCAAATGCACATTCTACCACCATTCTGCACTTGCTCAGCCTGTAGTTGAACAGCTCCTGACTACTGTCCAGGCTGCTTGTGTACGGCTTCATGAGCCATGGCATTAAGGGGTAGGCTGGGTCCCCAAGGATAACTATAGACATTTCAACATCCCCAACAGTTATTTTCTGGTCTGGGAATAAAGTCCATTCTTGCAGCTTTTGAAACAGACCAGAGTTCCTGAAGATGCGAGCGTCATGTAATCCTCCCGGCCATCCCACGTTGATGTTGGTGAAATGTCCCTTGTGATCCACCAGTGCTTGCAGCACTATTGAAAAGTACCCCTTGCGGTTTATGTACTTGCTGGCTTGGTGCTCCGGTGCCAAGATAGGGATATGGGTTCCGTCTATGGCCCCACTACAGTTAGGGAATCCCATTGCAGCAAAGCCATCCACTATGACCTGCACATTTCCCAGGGTCACTACCCTTGATATCAGCAGATCATTGATTGCATTGGCTACTTGCATCACAGCAGCCCCCACAGTAGATTTGCCCACTCCAAATTGATTCCCAACTGACCGGTAGCTGTCTGGCGTTGCAAGCTTCCACAGGGCTATCGCCACTCGCTTCTCAACTGTGAGGGCTGCTCTCATCTTGGTATTCTTGCGCCTCAGGAGTTCCATGAAAGTGCCCTTACGCATGCGAAAGTTTCGCAACCACTAGGAATCGTCCGAGACCTGCAACACTATGCAGTCCCACCAGTCTGTGCTTGTTTCCCGAGCCCAGAATCGGCGTTCCACTGCATGAACCTGCCCCATTAGCACCATGATGCCCACATTGCCAGGGCCCCTACTTTGAGAGATGTCTGTGTCCATGTCCTCATCACTCATGTCACCGCGCTGATGTCGCCTACTCGCCCAGTATCGCTTTGCCAGGTTCCGGTGCTGCATATGCTGCTGGATAATGCGCGTGGTGTTTAATGTGCTCCTAATTGCCAAAGTGAGCTGAGCGGCCTCCATGCTTGCCTTGGTATGGCGTCCGCACAGAAAAAAGGCGCGGAACGATTGTCTGCCATTGCTCTGACGGAGGGAGGGGCGACTGACAACATGGCTTACAGGGTTAGCTTACAGGGAATCATAGAATATCAGGGTTGGAAGGGACCTCAGGAGGTCATCTAGTCCAACCCCCTGCTCAAAGCAGGACCAATCCCCAATTTTTGCCCCAGTTCCCTAAATGGCCCCCTCAAGGATTGAACTCACAACCCTGGGTTTAGCAGGCCAATGCTCAAACCACTGAGCTATCCCTCCCCCCAAATTAAAGTCAACAAAGGGGGTGGCTTTGCGAGAAACTGAATGGCCCCCTCAAGGATAGAACTCAAAACCTCAAGGATAGAACTCAAAACTGGGTTTAGCAGGCCGTTGATTTCACAGAGGGAAGGAGGAGAAAATGAATACAAAACAAATCTGGTCTATTTCTTGTTTTGAGCCACTTCATCTATCTTTATACATCTTGCTGGCAGCAGACTGTGCAGTACAACCGCTAGCCATCATCATCTCCTGGGTGCTCGGCAGAAGACGGTGTTAGGGGGCTTATTCCTTCACCCACTTACTTCCCTGGTCCTTCTCATATGAACAGAGAGCAACAATACCCGAAGTCCAAAGTGCAAACAATTCGATGTTTATTGGGGTGAACTTCCAGCAAGCATGATTCCAGTTTCTTTCCTTAGTATCCTCCTTCCCAGCTCTGACACCACAGAGCCTTACACCTGTGTCCCTGTTCCCATTCCTACCCTTAGCCAAACATGATTCCAACTTCCTTACTCCCATTCCCTGTTCCCATTTCCCTCCTTTAGCAAAACATGATTCCAATTTTCTTACCCCCCTTCCCTGTTCCCATCTCCCTCCCCCACCCACCCTGCCACCCACACCCACTCACTTCCTCATTGACTACAGATTATATAGTAAAACTTGAGTTCTGCTTAGCTATACCTTAATGAATCATTTTCCTAAAATTTAACTAACCAATCCTAACATATTGTAACATGATTATGTAACCAATTATATCCCACCACCTTAATTAGTTTACACCCAGCAAAATTAATTATACAGCAGACAGGAACAATCACAGAACCAGACAGAGATTATACAGACAAACAATAGCAAAGTGGGAACTATAATGACAAGACAATACAGAAGTGAGTATTTCACATCCCAGCTATTGATAAGTGAGTTCTTGCCAGACAGGATGCTATCAAACTAAGTTTCCTTTTACATTTTCTAGGCACTTCCCTTTCTCTGGAGGTGATAGGAACTATCAGGACAGGATTGTATTCCTAACAGCCGAATAGCACCTTATTTCAGTGTGACTAGTTTGGAATGTGAGGATGTGACCGTTCGCTTCCTAGCTTATGGCTGCCTCTGTTGCTTAGCCAAAGGCCTTAGCCTAAGAATAGGGCCTCAGACTGTCACAGTAAGAGAAAGCCCTTACACAAGCAGACAGTGATTTTGATTCTTTCTTTTGTACCTCTATCACTAGCCAAGTGATAAGAATACACCTACATTCTTAGAGTATAGGCCTTTACAGACAGGCCTGAATATCTATATCCTAACAGACGGTGCAGTATGATGACTAGCCATCACCTTCTGCTGGCTGGAGGTTAAAAGACAACGCACTGCCGGTCGGACTAATAGCCACGAGACAGAACAAGGGAAATTACTTGGCTGAGTCACTCCCATGTTTGCCCAGGCGCCCGATTAAAAGAGCACCCAGGACTATGTCGATGACGGCTACCAGTCATACTGCACTGTCTGCTGCCAAAAGGCAATTTGCTGCTGTGTAGCAATGCAGTACCACGTCTGCCAGCACCCAGGATATATACGGTGACGGTTAGCTGAGCGGGCTCCATGCTTACCGTGGTATGGCATCTGCACAGGTAACTCAAGAAAAAACGCACAAAACGATCGTCTGCCCTTGCTTTCATGGAGGGAGGCAGGGAACGGGGGCCTGACTATATGTACCCAGAACCACCCGCGACAATGTTTTAGCCCCATCAGGCACTGGGATTTCTACCCAGAATTCAAATGGGTGGCGGAGACTGCAGGAACTGTGGGCTAGCCACCCACAGTGCAACGCTCCGGAAGTCGTTTGCCTCGGTACTGTGGACACACTCCGCCGACTACATACACTTAGAGCACTTGTGTGGGGACACACACAATCAACTTTACAAACTGTTTTCTACAAAACCGACTTCTATAAATTTGACCTAATTTCGTAGTATAGACGTACCCTAACAAATGTATTACATCATAAGCTTTTGTGGGCTACAGCCCTCTTTATTGGTTGCATAGAATTGAACATATAAGAAGAAGATATATGTATATATATACATACAGACAGACAAGGTGGAAGTTGCCATACAAACTGTGAGAGGCTAATTAATTAAGATGAGCTATTATTAGCAGGAGAAAAAAAAATTTGTAGTGATAATCAAGACCAGGGATTTAGACAGTTGACAAGAAGGTGTGAGGATACTTCACATGGGGAAATAGATTCAATATGTGTAATGACCCCGCCACTCCCAGTCTCCATTCAAACCCAAGTTAATGGTATCTAGTTTGCATATTAATTCAAGCTCAGCAGTTTCTCATTGGAGTCTGTTTTTGAAGCTTTTCTATTGCAAAATTGCCCCCCTTAAATCTGTTACTGAGCGGCCAGGCAGGTTGAAGTGCTCTCCCACCGCTTTTTGAGAGGCGTGATTCCTGATGTCAGGTTCCTGCCCAGTGATCTATGCTGGGCGGCCCTCGGCCCGCCCCGCCCATGGCCTTTGCTCCGCCCCCGCGCTGCCCGCACGCTACGCTCTGCGCAGCCCCCCCCTTCTCTATGGTGCAGGCGGCGCTTCCGCTGGGAGCCGGATGTTGGCGGGTTTCTCCTGCGAGCGGGTTCTTGGTGCTGCTTCGTGCAGAGACGCTTCGGACCAGCTGTCGCCTGTTTCTGCGTGTCCCGTCCCCCCTCCGCGCTAGGCCCCGGCCCCGCCCGCCCTCCTGTCCCGGGTCCTCCGCGGCGCTCACTTGGGACTCGGCCCTGGCCGTTGGTGACAGGTGAGTGCCGGGGCCTCGTCTCCCGGCCCGGTCCCAGACCCTCCGCCATTTTCGCGCCCGAGGAGGCTGCCCCCGGAGTCGGGACGGGCGAGGCGGCCGGTGGGGGAGGATCTTAGAGCAGTTCCTCCCTTCCCCTCCCCGCCGGGCCGGCTTCCTTTCCCCGGGACACCGTCCCTTCTCTCCCGGTGGGGTGGGGCCCTCGCCATTCCTCTGCGGCGGTGGAGGGGGGCTGCTTCCTTTCCCCCCCCTCGGGGGTCGGGGTGACGGTGGGGAGGGGTCTGAGCGGGCCCCGGCTGTGGGTGAGGGGCGGCGCGAGAGCGCGCCGTAGCGGGGGGGGGGGGGAAATGTTGCTGGGGGGCACAGCTGGGGCGGCACAGGTGCTCTGAGCCGCGGGTGAGGGACGTTGCCAGGGTCCCCAAATGCTGCGACGAGAGGGGTTTCCCGCGTGCTGCCGATGGACCCTGGCCGTGCCCTGTCAGCTCCTCACTGTCCGCGACTATTTGATTTTACAATTGTTTCCCTGAGCCGCGGCAGAAATAGCCTCCCCCTTTCCCCTTGCTCAGGGCTGAGCGCTGGTCACACGCCCAGTCCGCGAGGGGCGAGTTGCGTTGAAGAAGTTCCGTTATTATATTTTCCTCTGTGAGTTAAATGACCGTTAACAGACTCCACATACACAGATCGCGTCAAGTGCTGCCCCTGCTCAGTTAGCATACAGTACAGCAGTGGCATGAGGAGAAACTTTATGGACCCAGGCAAATCATTGCTCTTCCACAAGTGACAAAGATCTTTTAACTGTGTTTATAAATTAAGCTTTGAAAGCTTCACAATGAATTTCCAGGAGTTATCAGCACGTTTACACTGTTAAGTGAAAGGAAAGGTGGGGTTTCATTTCCTTCCTAAAATTAGGAGATAGAAAGTCTTTATATAAAGACTAGAGTAAGTGTTGTATCTCAGGAATTAATGCAGTTATTGTATCCCTAATGTTGTGTTTGGAGCAAAAACTTCTACCTGTCTTAGCTTTGATAAATTGGAAATGCTATGAAATTCGAAAGTTGACACTTAATTGTAGTCATCATTTTAATACGTTCTTGTCAGTAACCCTGTTTCATGGAAGGTTTAGCTAATGAACTGGCATAGCTCCTTTGAATTTATTTCAACTCCACTGAGTAAACCTTTCAGGGAAACATAAATGTGTGGTGTTAAAAATATTCCTTCATCGCAGCAAAATCTCACTTCATTTATGTATATCAAGTGGGTTTAGAAAAAATTAGTACCTTTTATGACGTTTGCCTGATAGAAACTTGGTTTCATCAGTAACATACTTAGTTTTAGGCAGCTTCCAAACTGCACTCACTCTTCTGTTGTTTTGTGTGCTTTTCTACAGCTTGTTTAGGTAAATGCATCACACTAGGAACTCTTTTAATGAGAGGCTTGTGTACAAACTAGAACCAAATTAAATCACTTTTAATTCACAAATTTAAAGTTTTTTCAGTAAAAGTCTGTGTGAAGTCTTATTTGAAATAATGTCCTATTCCGATCTAATTTAAATTTTTTTTAACCAATTTAAATTAAACTGAAATAGGAAACTCTTAATCTGAAATAATTATCCATATGTAGATTTGCACTGAAACTGTGAGTTAAAACTGATTAAGTTACTCTGGTTCCAGTTTGAGTATGGACCAGCCCTTTGTGTCTTAAACATTAAATGTTTTATGTGGACGAGGACAGTTGTTTAAAAACATGTTAGCTGGTTGTAGTTAACCCTAGAGATTAGTATTAAGCATGCCAGCTAATATGTTCTTAAAGATCACTTGTCCATGTCTATACGAGTTACAGGGGTGAAAGTAAAATGCAGCTCTTACCGGTATGGGGTTGTGCTGCCCTCTCCCCCCGGAAGGGGCGAGGGGGGGGGGGTCAGCATTCCCCAGCCAGTCCATCTGTGCTCACTGGCCCACAGGAGCCCCAGGTCCTTTTAAATCGCAGCCCTGGGGCAGCTACTTCTTCCCCCACTCCCACACTGTCGGCAGCAGGGGGGCAAAAGGGGCAGTGCTTTAACTTCGCTGCCCCTTTTGCGCCTCCCCATTGGCAGCCCTTCTGGTAGGGATCTGGCAGGGCAGCCAGTGGCGGGGAGGAGGGGCGCAAAAAGGGCAGCCATGTTAAAGTGCTGCCGCGGCAGCGTTTTAAGCAGAGTTCTTAAAGAGCTGCTATGGCAGCGCTTTAAAGTCAGAGATACGGGTGGTACTGGCGGCTACCTTTTACCCGTACGCCATACCGGCCTGTACCCCTTTACTTTCTCCCCGACTAGTTACTAAATTATTTATCATGTTAAGTAAAACATATTAGTGCTGTCTACTATAATATACTTTCCCAGTAGAGAAGTGGCCTAATGCACTTCATTTTAAAACTTAGTTTGCTTAAATAGATTGTGTATACTGAAACTGTTTTCTTGAACATGAGATGAAGTGGTTGGTTTGGAACAGAATACTTTATTCACATGAAAAACAAGGAGTACTTGTGGCACCTTAGAGACTAACATTTATTTGGGCATAAGCTTTTGTGGGCTAAAACCCACTTCATCGGATGCATGCAGTGAAAAATACAGTAGGAAGATTATATATCTCCACACACACACACACACAGAGAACATGAAAAAATGGGTGTTGCTATACCAACTGCAACGAGACTAATCAATTAAGGTAGGCTATTATCAGCAGGAGGAAAAAAAGTTTGTAGTGATAATCAGGATGGGCCTTTTCAAACAGTTGACAAGAAGGTGTGAGTAACAGTAGTAACCTATCCTGAAGGATGATCCCTCACTCTCTCAGAGCTTGGGAGACAGGCCAGTCCTTGCTTACAGACAGCCCCCCAACCTGAAGCAAATACTCACCAGCAACCACCCAACAAAAACACTAACCCAGGAACCTATCCTTGCAACAAAGCCCGTTGCCAACTCTGTCCACATATCTATTCAAGGGACACCATCATAGGACCTCATCACATCAGCCACACCGTAAGAGGCTCGTTCACCTGCACATCTACCAATGTGATATGCCATCATGTTCTAGCAATGCCCCTCTGCCATGTACATTGGCCAAACCAGACAATCTCTACGCGAAAGAATAAATGGACACAAACCAGATGTCAAGAATTATAACATTCAAAAACCGGTCGGAGAACACTTCAACCTCCCCAGTCACTCAATTACAGACCTAAAAGTGGTAGTTCTTCAACAAAAAATCTTCAAAAACAGACTCCAACGAGAAACTGCAGAACTGGAATTAATTTGCAAACTGGACACCATTAAATTAGTCTCGAATAAAGACTGGGAGTGGATGGGTCATTACAAAAAGTAAAAACTATTTCCCTGTATTAATTTTCCCCCTCCTGTTACTCACACCTTCTCGTCAACTGTTTTAAATGGGCCATCCTGATTATCGCTACAAACGTTTTTTTCCTCCTGCTGATAATAGCCTACCTTAATTGATTAGTCTTGTTGCAGTTGGTATGTTTTCATGTTCTGTGTGTGTGTATATATATATCTTCCTACTGTATTTTCCACTGCATGCATCCTATAAAGTGGGTTTTAGCCCGTGAAAGCTTATGCCCAAATAAATGTTAGTCTCTAGTGTGCCACAAGTACTCCTTGTTTTTTTTGCTGATGCAGACTAAGACGGCTACCACTCTAAAACCTTTATTCACATGGTAATACTTGCATAGCTTGCCAAAGTGTAAAAATGACAGAATCCTTGGATCATTGTAATAATACAGAAATAGTCTTTTCATCCTTTGTAAAGGAGGTAAGTGTCAGATGGGAAAACTGAGGCACAGAGAGGTATATTGACTTTTCCAAGGTCTCCCAGCAAGTCAATGGCAGAGTTGGGAGTAGAACCCTGGTGTTCTAAGTCCCACTCTAGTGCTCTATCCACTAGGCCACCTTATCAAGCATTTGTCAGGAGAGACTCTCAGTATGCTAGGGGTTCTTCCAGTAACCACTGGTCATTGTTGTCTATTCCTGATTCATTGACAGATGCTACATAATGTGGTGTTGAGTTGACAATCTTTTTGTAATTTAAAGAGCAGTGCTCAGTTTGGATGTTCTCTGGGTTATGTTTGACCAGTTTTAGAGTTTCACTTAATGTTTGAAGTTGGGAGGATTGGACATTGCAGTGTTTGTGTGTGCCATTTGAATAGCATTTGAGTTTTTGTTGTGTATAGTTGATAAGTTAGTGCACTTACAAATGCTTTGAGACAAGGTGTTGTACAAATGTTGGATTATTCTTGCTAGTACTTGAGTGATCTTACTGAGAAGTATTACCCTTAGAGAGTCCTTGTTATGTGTTTTTTGTTAACTGTTTTTTATTGGTTAAACAGTTATCCAATAGCTAAGTAAGGTACACACAAGAGGTTTATTGCTTAGGGATTAGTCTATTTTTAAAAATTAAATTTTAAGAGCATAATAGCAATTTAGCTACTGAGTGTTTTCAACACCCAGATACTGTTTATCCAGTACCTAACTGTAGTGGGGCGATGACTCACCGGTGCGGTGCCTCCTCCTGGCCAGTGTCTCACCTGCCACTGGACCCTGGTGCCCTTTTCCTCAGGGTTCTGCCCCAGCAGTATCCCCACACTCTGGGTCTCCCCTCCCAGAGGATCTCCCAACCCTCTAAACCCACCTTGCCTCAGTGGCTACTGCCAGTCATCATCTAACCCCTGCTCACTGTGGCAGACTGCAGTGTAATGGCTACTCATGGTTGGCAAGGGGTTAGGACCAGCTGCCTCTGCCTATTCCCCGGCTCCCCCTCTGCAGCCCCAGTACCTTTCTGGGCCTTTACCAAGGCCTGCAGGTTTACCAGGCTGGAGCTCCCCAGCTCCCTTTGCCCTTCCCCAGCAGTGCTCTGGCTCTAGGTACCTTGTTCCCAGGCAGCTAGCCCTTCCCACTACAGGGCTAGGGTGAGACTCTTTACAGTTCCTGGACCTCAGCCCTCTTATAGGGCCAGCTGTGGCCTGATTGGGGTGTGGCCCCAGCTATGGCTACTTCCCCCAATCAGCCTAGCTGTTCCCAGCCACAGCCCTCTCCAGGGCTGCTTTAACCCCTTCAGGGCCGGAGAGGGGTGACCACCCCGCTACACTAACACAGTGAGGTCCTGGCCCATGAATGAGATGCCTAAGTTCTACCCGATAAGAATAATAGTTCCTCAAATACTCATAGTCTTTGTGTTCACCTGGATTCCTCATTGCTTCTTGATGATCAGATAGCTGTAGCCATAAAAAAAAAGCCCTTTTCCATTTGATTTACAAGAAGACTGTACCCTACTGTTAGATTTGCATTGTGATGCATGAATTTGAGACATCCAGAATTGTTTGGAGGGAGGTAGTTTGTATCTTTCTAAGGAATTAAAATCTGTTGAAATAACATGGAGGCCACTTACATACCTTACTGTAATATCAGGCAGCGATTCACTGAAGAAAAGTTGTTCCTTCAAAAGTCTTGCATAAAGTTATCAGGTCACTGTGAAAATATCATTAATATGAACTAGTGTGCTGTTGGATAGCCAGTGTTGTACCTAGAGAGGTGAGCTTTATTTCTGTGTGTTAAATTGAAGCAATAAAGATGTGCTATGAATTTGTCTACTGGGTAGATTTAGAGACTTGTCCACCTTCAATATATCAAAATTTTACATTTTCTAGGTCTAGCTGTTGTCAGAGGCTAGACACTGCACTGTGAGACCATATTTTTTAAAAAAGTCTTCAACACTTCCGTATTACTATTCCAGGTGAAAAATAGTCCCTTGAGAGAGAATAAATTCATACATTTAAAAGGATGGTGTCACTTTGCTTTACAGTGGGAGGCACTGAGTCGATATCATGTGAGGTAGAGCATTAGATGGAGTCTCAAGAGACCTGCTTTCAGTTCCTAGCGCAGTCATAGACTTGCTGTGTGTGACCTTGGGCAAATAATTTCATCTACCATTTGTGTCAGTTCTCCATCTATGAAATAGAGATAATAATTCCCTACCTTCCATATAATTATCTAGCACTTGGATACTATGAAGATGGGATCCACATAATTGTTGTTGGATAACAGATTTCAGATAGGCTAATGAAAGATGGAGCCCTGAGATGGATCTGGGGCAGTATTTACTGCCTCTTCAGAACATGGGAATGAGGGCTGGGCTTTTCACCAGTACATTGCTCTTGAACTTCACTAGTGGGTTCTCTTACTGTCTTTCACATTGGCCCTTGTCTAGTTGGCTGAGTCCTCTGGCTAGTAGCTGCCTAGTTAACTTTTCCAGCCATGGCATTTCAAGTCATGGCATTTAACAGAGTAATGTGTCAGCTGGCCAAATGGGAAGTTCAGTTACCATCCCTGGAGAGGTTCCTTTCTCCTTTCTGACCCTTCTAAAAGTAACAGAATACTGAAAAAATGTAGTAGTTTGATATAGCAAGTAAATATGTTGTCACAATAGCTACTGAGGGCTTACACTTTCACTGTCTGGTTTTTAAAGAAAACTGCAATGTTAGTTATGCCATAATTAAATGAATGTATTGTGCATGTAATGTTGAAATTGATAGTGCCTGTGTTGCAGTCTATAATTTTGTTTTCTAAATGATAATATGCTACAATGTATGTTGAAACTAAATTAGCCTTGTAATAAGTGTCAAGTAGATTAAATATTTTATCATCCTTACAATGATTATCCTTCGGTTTAGCATTGCTACTATGATATCTAATATGGTATAATGTTTAAATGTGTATTGATTTAGAAGAAACAACTATTCTTTTATCCTAAAAAGCCAGTTGGCCTGACTTTCAAATCTGCTGAACGCTTGGAACTCCCACTGAATTCATGAGGGAGTTGCGAGTTGTCAATGTACCCGAAAATAAAGTGTTCACAGAGTACCTCGAAATGGAACCGTTGTGTTCCCACTAATTTCTGGAGCTATATGGACACTGAGAACATAACTGCATAAGCTAGGAATTCAATTAAAAATTTTTGTTAATTTCAAAATCAGTCACATACAATGAAAGGCTTGCCAAAAAATAATTAATCACTCTTATTTTCAAACATGACCTGTGGGAAAACAATGACTTAAAAGTGTTTGAAATCAACCTGTTTAATCGGACTTCATTTTCGCGATTATCCTCCTGTTCAACAATAAGAAACTTTCAGATCTACTTCATTATGTACTGCACACTAAAATAGGTAGTTGTTATTCTGAAACTTAATGTTTGATAGGGAGATATTCAAAAGTACGTAAGGGATTTAGGAGCAAAAGGTAATGGGACTACTACATTCCTTATTTGCTTTTGAAAATCTCCCTCTAAAGTATTCAATATCAATATAGATAGAATTTAACAAAATTGAGCAGGGAATGAGGAAAATGAACTTTGTTCTTAGGTAAAAGAGATCTTGCTGTAAACTCTTCATTCTCCCTGAGCACCTCCATGTTTTTTCCCAACTCTTTTTTGTTTTTTTGAAAGAACAAAAAAGGAGCTGCAGTGCTTTAGTCATTCCATTGGCACTCTGACACTGCCTAAAACGGATTTCCTCTCTGGCTTGCAGCAACAAGCTTGCCCCTTGCATTCTTTCCTTGCATTACACAACTTGTTCAACTCCTGAACAACGAACAACAGGGAAGAAACATGCAAGCAGAGTAGGTTATTGTTGCAGTACGTGCCTTTCTGAAAAGAATGGAAGTCTAATACTAGTTTGCACCTTAATTTGAATTAGTGACTGCTGCTTCATCATCATAGTCCAATAAAGCACAACAATAATTTGTTACACAAATCTATTCCAACTCTAACAAAATACTATAATTGAGTCAATATATGGTAACTTTTATCACAGAACGGTAGGTGATAGGGCTTTACTTTCTCACATTTTAAAATGTTTATTAGTTGTATCAAAAAAGGATAATTGAAATATATGAATAATATGGCATTGTAAGAATAGGTGATTATTCACAACTAGGCTATTCTCCAGAGTACATCGTTTGTCCCTGCTTGTGCTGATTGGTAGCAAATGAGTTGGACACACATCTTTATTAAGTTAAGGCTTTGAGAAATCACTGTGGGAGAAAATACTATCCAGGCATTTATTGTAACACTTGAGCTTAGAATCATAGAATATCAGGGTTGGAAGGGACCTCAGGAGGTCATCTAGTCCAACCCCCTGCTCAAAGCAGGACCAATCCCCACTTTTTGCCCCAGATCCCAAATGGCCCCCTCAGGGATTGAGCTCACAACCCTGGGTTTAGCAGGCCAGTGCTCAAACCACTGAGCTGTCCGAAGCTTCTTGGCAGAATGAGTATAGATACTCATTGTGCTGATTCTATAGTACATCTGTATCAGCATTCTAAAATGCAGCTAGAATGCTGTTTAACAATATTGCAGTATTAGATCCTGCTGCTGTACAGATTGTTTGTTTATTCCTGATCAGCTGTCCCCCTTTTACACTAAGAATTAGCTTTGAGAAGTTCTGTTTGGTTTGGAACCAGGGTTCAGGAGGCAAGTGGATCATTGACCCATGCTGGCTCTTCAGCCAGGTAGCTCTATCAGCGGAGGAGAGATGGGTATGGCTCTTTTCAGAAACCATTGATACCACTTCCTGAATCAGCAGGAAGAAAAGCCAATATACTTGACTAATCAGACTAACTATATAACATGACAATTTTAAGTCTTTCTCCTTGTTTGGGTCAAATATGGTGCTTAGTATTGACGTGCGGTTATTTTTTTAAGTCTGGCATGTTTTAGTTGCTAAAGATGTGAAAGACTTCGGTTTATGTGCTGTTTACTAATCAATATTTAATATGGTTTTCATAGGATATGTAACATGACACTGATACTCTGGACAGGTAACTTTAACTGTTTGAAAGCATTATCTAATAAGGGGCATCCAGGTAACTGCCAGTAATGAGCACCTTTATTGTTTTATGCTGTAGGATCATATTGCCAAAGACATTTTTTGTAAAGCCTACATCATAGAAAATGTAGCTTATATTGTGATCACATGTTTACCTTTTTGACTAAAAAATCATTTTTACAATTTTGAAAATGTTTTCATATGGATATTTAAAGGGATATTGTCAACTTGACAGTTTGAATTAGCTAATTGTTTAAACAAATCTAAAACCAACATATACTATTTAAATTTTAAAAAAAATCTTTATCGGGGTTTTTGTTGTTTTTTTGCTCCTTTACTAAAGGTTTTTATGGTGGGCACAAGAGCAACAACTCTGAATGTACTTAAGCTGGTCCCTTCTATTTCCCCTCCCTCCTTCCCTCCCTCTCTATGCACATGCTTGCCTGCTGCCTATTCAATGTCAGCTTTGCTGCTGCTGTACTAGTAAACACTTCCATGCAAGTGCTGGGGAAGAGTGTGCATGTGAACTGTCTCCAGAGTAGTGCATGAGTCTTGTGGTTGTGCTGATGCATGAGAAAGAGAGTGTGCAACTGATCATCAGTGAAAGTGTTAGAATGCTATCATGTGGACAAAATAAGTTGAAATAATAGAGAAATGATGTTTTCCTCTAATCTTTCAGTTATTGTAATATTAGGTGTAACAGTAGGTACACATTTTTCAGAGAGAAGTGATTTTTTTCTCCCAGTTGACTGTATCAAGTTATTAGTCTGTTTTTTTTCCAATGTAAAATGTATGGGTATGCAGTTGCCAGAACTAGTGGGGGAAAGAAGTCTAGAAAGGACTGTTGTAAAGTCTGTAAAGACCTACCAAAATGAAATACCTTTAATAAGCCAAGGCAGTGCACATTGAAGGGAGTAGTGTAACCTCAATGCAACTATCTAGACATCCTTGTTGATCAAGGACAATGACTCGAAGTGAAACATTTCAAACTGATGAAAATAAATTGTTGGGTCTATCTTAGAGTTGTTTGCTACATCAATCCTATTTTTATATGTAACTAAGTTTTCTTTTATGTGATAAATAAAAAAACTTTGGGTGAAATGAGAAACATCCTACACAAAAGTACAGTTCTCTCCCTCGTCCTTGCATCCCAATGATTTTGTGAACCTGGTTGTGACTAGTTCCTTCTAATAAACCACAGATAAAAGAGAGTAAGGGGGCAATGCGAAGTACCCAGTGAGACTTAGTGGAAGCATTTTAGTGAAGCCAAGATACTGTTGTAGCCTGGGTTTTATTTTAGATTCATTGTGGGTTTGGTACTGGAAGTTTAGTGGGACTCCTAGAACAGATGATACATCAAGGGGCCCAAAACCTTTAAAAATAATCTTTGTATTTTAAGTAGAGAGAGAGAGAGTGTGTGTGTGTGAGAGAGAGAGCGAGAGCAAGCATTCAAGCCTTAACTAATGGTTGGAGTCCATCAGATTTTTTTTAACTGCAGACTGTTTTTTTACACTGATTTTTATATATATAAATATAAATAAAAATCAAAGCAATTTGAAGGACATTGTCTACTTAGTCCATAATACTTTTCAGTAAGTTACTTTTGTCATTGGCTGAATATTTGATAATGCAGGATTTAAAAATGCTGAAAACCAAATGAGTTAACATGTAATCTTGTAAAGAGTGTGATGGTGCTCATTCCTAGCTTGCTCAAGCTTCAGTATTTTGGCAGATCTTAAACTGGAGATGGCCATGGATCTGATGTAATTTTTCTTCTGATTAACTTCTTTAGGAAACTTAGTTAATAACTCAACCTTAATAGCTGTGCCAACTCTGCTCTCCTTTTGCTCTGCAGACTACTGCAGCTATTCTTTGGGTTGTGATTACTTTTTCAGAAATCATTAAGGCTGGAGAATGAATATTTTTTCCCGTTATCTCAATGTTACATTATCAACAAAGTTTTAAATCAGTGAGAACTTAAGTTATTTGAATTGCTTTATAGTAAAACTGAGATTGCACAAAATTAAATGTTTTGAAACTGATACTGAAACCAGTTTTAAAACAACTGTTATAATTCCTGGATTTTTTCAAAATTAAACTAAATTTTTGACAAAGTATATATTCCAATAGTTTATGCAATAAATAATTTGATTTTCTTAAATTGAGAAACACAGTGGGTCATGCATAGTAAATTTAGTTGAAGAGATACTGTCAGGTATATAACTTGGCTTTTGTTTAAACAGCCTTATGAAACTTAATATTTATAGAAATGTTTTGACTAATTAAAAATTAAATGAAATTGACTATAAACAAACGTGAAACTGACAAGGCTAGTCTCTCTCTACAAGCTGAGTGAATGTTGAAAAACTAGATTTTCAAATTTTTCAACCTTACTTTAAATTACTATCATTAGAGGTAAAAAGCAAGCACACTTATGGAATTGTGTAGATGAACAAATGTGGTTTTATATATTTTGCAACCTGACAGTGTCCCTCAATTATCAAGTCCCTGTACTTCCATTTTCCAGCTGGGTTTTAACTTTGCATGTGTTTCAGTGAAATACAATATGAATATTGGTTGTTTCCTGGAAGCATTTTGGAGCTATCTCTAGATTTTAATTTGGAAAGTGGTTAGTTATCACAAGATAGTGAAATTATTTTTTTCATTTTGTTGAGGGTTAGTAACCAATGAAAAAGTGCAGTGTAATGTGATTCCATTCTCTACTTCTGATTATTCAGATGCATATATTTAAACTCTTAAAAATTAGTTACTTAAATTACAGCTGTAATTTTAATAGAAATCAGTCCCTCCTGGAAGGGCTTAATGAAATCTAAAACAAAACTAGAATTCAATAGACCTAAATGTTTCCATTCCAAGAAATACTTCTTACCGTGGCCTGTTACTTAGAGCAAATTGTAATGCTTAATACTTGTCCTTAGTTTATCATAGGCGCCTCAGTGAAGTTATTTCCTTGAAGTAATGCCCACAGAAAGTGGAAGTTGTGCAACTGCTCGGCAAGCAAAGCAGAAGCGCAAATCGCACAGTCTTTCTATACGAAGAACCAACAGTTCTGAGCAAGAAAGGACGGGATTGCAAAGAGAGATGTTGGAAGGGCAGGTAAACGAACAGATTGATATTCAAGAACTAATTTCTTAAAACTCTTTACAAATAAATAATGGAACTGTCTTATTTCTTTGTGTACAGAAAAATAAATACAGACTTAAGTCATGAAGAATATCTAGTTAAACTGGAACTTTAAGTGGACAAATGTTAATGGGAAAACTTTACAAATTATGCTGTAATACCCTTCCATAAAATAAATGCCCCTAAGAACATAGCCTAGCCACATTTATTGGGTAGCTGGTTTTAACAATCAAGCCGTGTTAAAAACAGTCTGTACAAATCAGCTCAAGTATAAATGAGATCATTGTGCACGTCCTTTAGGGCAGAGAATGACAAATCCAAGAATCTTGTGTAACTTTCGTTTATCTGCCCAGAGCTCTGGTAACAGATACAAACTTGACTCCATTTTAACCTGAAGTGATTTTGAATGCTTTAGTAACTCTTCCAATACAAATGTAGAATTTGTAAGGAAATGGGGTGGGAAGAACATAATGCAATTAAGTTCCAAACAGCCATTAACTTCATATACTGGGCAATATGGACTTGGCAAAGAATATCAGATTTCTAACTGGATTGTCCAGGAGAGATGACTTTGAAATATTAAGAACAAAATATCAGAAAAAGAAGTCATGAACTTCTTTGTAGTCACAAATCTTCAAAGGAAAAATAGGTCTAACTGTGCAAGGCTCTCTGAAAAGTTACCCTTTCTGTGGAGACAAAGGTATATTGCTTCATTTTGCTAGACGGAAGCAAAAATCCTTGTAATCAAGCCCATAATGTTACTCATTTAGAGTTGGTAACTAGCTTTTTCTAAGTTTTGGATTAGTTGGTAACTTACTTCTAAAGAAACCTTCACTGTGTTTAAAGTTAAACCTTACAGTTAGTCTGTATTTTTTCAGCTCATTATATAAAACATCCATTTTTGTCTCATATTTTCAGAAGTACTGAGTAGGTAATGTCCTTTCTGAGACTATCTTCTTACCTTCCTTCCTGACTTAAACAAGCAGTGGTAAGGGACAGCTGAGATACTGGCCGAGCAGAAAGGTTATTTTGGATTACTACAGACATTGGTCTAAAAGCAACCAGGACAACAAGGGCAAAGCTTGAGAGGTTAAGAGCTGCTGACATTTTGTATTTTTATATGGTAAATATTAAATTAAAGATGGGAAGTTTTGTTTAATATCAAAGAATACAGTTAGCAGGCTGTTAAGCTAAGGGTATACCTGCCCAACAATGTAAGCCTAGGGTTAGTGGGACTTGAGTTAGCTGACCTGTGTCAGGGAACCCTGGGCTTGAGCGTCTACATTACATTTTAACCCTAGGTTAAGGACCTTGACTAGGGCTCTTTCTTTAGTTGTAGGCTCCTGGTAAATTTGCTAAATTCTGCTGACAAGCACATTTGTATGACTCTGTCTAATGGCTGGTCTACATACAAACTTTTAATTAAATCTGTTTTATAAAACAGATTATTTCAGATCAAGTCTGTGTGTGGACACTTTTTTATTTCACAGTAAAAGTGATTCAAGTTATTTTTAGCTAACTTGCACTAAAGGTAACTAAATTGATTTAAATTCACATCTTTTGTTTCAGTATAAGTTTGTTTGTAGATCACACTTGATTAATTTGTCTCCCTTCTTTAACAGTTGTTCTTGTCCATCCGCAGTCCTGTCTTGTCATGGACTGTGCTGGGACATTAAATTCTGACGTTTTTTGTTTGTACAAAAAACGAAGTAGTTTTTGAGACTAGAGGTTGAGTAAAGTTGGCACGTATATTGGGTCATCAAGTCAATCCCCTTGGTATCCCGATTAGATTAAATTTTATTATTTTATGAAAATATATGGTAATTTGTTCCATTGCTGAAGTTTAGTCATCATCCCCCGTCTACCCCCAGCCCCAAAAAGGTGTTTTTTTTTTTTTTCCCCCCTAACCTAGATTTTTCCGTTCTATAGTGATTTCTCCAGTATCTTGCTCTGTCCTCAGTGACTGCTGACTCTAGGTACGTCACTTCCTGGTTGCGTACACTTCCCCACCAAGTGAAGTAAGCTGTTGTTGCCTCTTGGGGAGCCTTTTATCCTCAGCCTTTCATCTGAGTGCTTAGGCTTTCTCCGAAACAGCCTTTGAAGCAGCTGACAGTGCAGCCTGTTGGTAGTTCCCTTTTCCCTGCTAGTAGGTAGCATTATTTTATTGTCATCTTCACAACAGAAGCTGGGACTACACCTACTTGCTTTTGTTGCCTGGCTCTGTTTTCCTTTTACCTGATACAGTCTGCACAATCAAAAACAACGAGGAGTCCTTGTGGCACCTTAGAGGCTAACAAATTTATTTGGGCAAAAGTTTTCATGGGCTAAAACCCACTTCATCAGATGCATGGAGTGAAAATACAGTAGGCAGGTATAAATACGCAGCATGTGAAAAGATGGGAGTTGCCTTACTAACTGGTGGGGAGGGGTCTTTTCATGTGCTGTGTGTTTATACCTGCCTACTGTATTTTGCACTCCATGCATCTGATGAAGTGGGTTTTAGCTCACGAAAGCTTATGCTCAAATAATTTTGTTAGTCTCTAAGGTGCCACAAGGACACCTCGTTGTTTTTGCTGATACAGAGTAACATGGCTACCACTTTGAAACCAGACTGCAGTGTGCTCTTTGTAGCTTCTTAAAATAGGAAATAGGGGCAGAGGTTTGAAATTTAAATGATTACAAATTTGGATTTTGCCTCTTCACTTTTCTTTTTATAAAATGTTTTGTGATGAATCCCGTTCTGAGGTTTGCAAATTGAAGCATGAGTCTGGAAGTTAGTTAATGTTTTCAATGTAATTGTGGCTACATTGCATGTATTGCATACTTTAACCTAAACTTATTCAGGTGTGCACAGGATAACTCCTGTAGGTGAGTTCATGTTAGATTATTTTCAGTTTTCAGCCTTAATATTGCATTAACATAGGTTTATGTGGATTTAAGAGATGCTGTCACTTGGTGGTCTTTATCCTATTTATAACATGTCTTGCTAGTTCCCATTTTCCAGAGACATCACCATTTGGAGTGTCTGATAAATGTATCTTTGGAGAAACTTAAGTTTACTTACCTTTTACTGGCTATTGGAACACCTGGTCAGGCAGATGATTGTGGTTTAAGGGCTCAGAGTTTTGAGCTATGGAAATTATTTCTCATATGCTTAAAGCACTCAGAGGTATTACTAAATTTGCTGCTTTATATCTTGTGAGTGTAATAATTCTCACTTTAGTGAAAACTACTCTAAAATAAAACCTACAACTGGCAAACTGAAAATATAACACACACAATTAATAGCTCACCTTCAGTTATTGTGTAATATCAACAACAGAAGAAAGGAAAGAGAAATGTCTCATCCGTAGTGCAAGGATATTTTAACAGAGACATAAATACACAATTTTGCCCCAAATAGGCAATTCATTGAGTCTAGGTAACTCATAGTGATTTGCATAATCACTGTGTATAGCTGTTTTTCACTCTGTTCTGGCTATTTATAATCCTCCTTCTCTAGTACACTTTTGTATTTAGCAATTCTAAGTAGTTTGTCTTCAACAGACAGTTGTTTCAGCTTGTCTATCTAAAGAGATTCCAGCATGTATGAGAGAATGTCCTGTAAAGCTGATGAAAGTGAAATGATATCTTTTAAAGAAGCTAAATCGTTTTGATTCATTACCTACTTTCTTCTGGTTTACTCACCTTCTTTCAGCAAAGCAGCTAAAGGCCTTGGTAGCAGAACTATTTGTATTATGAACAGCACAGAGAAATCCCACTGCTCAGAGTGTGAGAAAATTGCTTGTCCCAAAGACATTACTATCTAAATAAGACATAGAGTGGGAGAAAAGTACTAGATATCCCCATATTGCAAATGGGCCGATGAAACAACAAGAGATTTGTCTAAGGTCAATACAGGAATTCTGTGGCAGAGCTTAGAATTGAACCTAGATCATTTAAGTCCTTGTCCAGTGCTTTTACCACAAGAACACCCTTCCTCTCTTGAATAACTGTCACATTTGTGTATACAGAGAAGTATCCCAGCTCATCTGTTTGAATTCAGTTCTGAATACTGCGTAAAGAAATGTGTTGCATTTACTATGGAGAGAAGAGTCTTGATGAGGAGGGAGGAAAGGAGATGTATTAGAAATAATGAGATGAAAGGAGAGAGGAGATGGATGATGGGTGGCCAGGATAGCTAACTGTTCAAAGTGAATGTTTTTTGAAGTTTGGCAACCCGTTTTGTTTTGTATGTATTTAATTTGATACTTTGTTTATTACAATTGGAGAGTGCTTCCTGTTTTAGGTAATAACCACATCTCAAGCAAATAAACTCTTCAACTTTTTTTATTCATTTTTTGTACTTCCAAGGTATGACTGCTTCATAAACTGGAAACACCTTAAGCTATAACATAATACACACACTTTTAATTTATAAAACCATTTACATAGGAAAAAACAAGCAGCATCTTGGTATAAATTGCTCTCTAGCAGAAAATAAGAAATTCATTTAACCCAGCAGGTTTGATATTTCTCCTTTACAGGGAAAACAGTGTGAAAATGAAGCCTTTATTATGTGTAAAATACAGCCCAAGAGTTTTCTTGCTTGTGTTTCACATTACAAATACCAGTTTTCCTCTGTACTGGAGAATGGGAGAACTGTTGAGATTGAGTTAAGAGATTGAAATTGGTGCTGTAGTTTCCCTTTTACAAGGGGAGGTTTAGTCAAATTGTTTATACCTTTGAGTTGTTTGTTGAAACCTGTTTAACTGAAGATGCCAGATTACTAGGTGAAAAAACTCTTTCTGAAAGAGTAAACATCTCCTCTCCTTTAAGTTAGGTCTGGGAAGCTACACTTAGGTTTCAGTGCCACTCACACTTGTGTTTTTGCTGAAAGTTGGGAGAATAATTTTCTTATGGTGATTAACCTGGGTAGGTTTTGGGGAAAGTTGGTGAGTTTTTCCCCTTTTTTTAAATAGGTATTTGAATGAAGAGAATTTAGACGGCATTAAGGTAGCATAAAATGATACAAAAGGAACAGTGGGACAGGAGACTTGAACAGAGTGAAGGTAATGCGGAGGAGTAGGAAGAAATGAACAGAGAGGTAGGCAGTGGATAGCTGTGCAAAATCTTGAAGCTGAGAATGAGGAAATTTTGATGTAGACACTGAAAGAAGACCAGTGAAAGACTTGAGAGGGAGTGGTGTTAGTTGTGGAAAAGAAGATTTTAGCTATGGCATTTTTCATGAACTTGAGCAGAGCAAGAAGAGGCTGTACTGGTCAGTAGGAAGCAAGAATTTTAGCCATGGAGGTGTGAATGACTGAGATTTTGAGATGTCAGGAAATCAGATGTGACTTGCTTACAGCCTATATATATAGGGAGAGACCGGAATAGAATCACAAGTTGAAAACTTGGGTAATTAGGAGGATGGTGATATAAAAGGCTGTAGATGAGAGGAAAATGGAGTCTGGTTTTCAGCTACACTATGTTTGGGCTGGTGCAGGGACGTTGGCTCCACTTCTGTTCTTTCTTTCAGTTCAACTTGAAAGTTTATCTTGGACAAAGAAAATAAACTCCTTTCTCTTCAATTTAATTTCCAGTCATCATAATGTTGCATTATTTGGAGTGCCAACACTGCTGGAGAATGTTTTGTTAAAAGCAAACTTTCCTTTGGAATTTAAATCTCATGCAGCCGGGAGGGTGTGAGTTGACAGCAGTTGAACTTGTGATTCCAAGAAGTCTTGGGGTTTCAGGCTTTTAATTATTACAGCTAAAATTACTTGAAGAATTAATGTTTTTACTTTTGCCCATGTATCTGCTGACTTGCTCTATTAAAAATGTAATAAGAAATTAAAATGTATGATGTTGTTTTATAACTTGCTAGGTATTGAATAGCTTTATTTAAACAAAATACCAGTTAAAAAATTCAGGTCACCACAGTAAAGTACCATATTTTGTCTTACTCTTCAGCATCAGACTAAGTGAAAATATAAGCATGCTACAGTAGAAAAATAATTTAAATGCTCTGCTAACAAACTAATGTTCAGAAATGATTTTTTTTATTAAAACAAATGTCTTTGGTGCTCAGCACCCCAACATTCATATTATATCATAACTGCAATATTTACAGAATTAATTGCTGATAGTTTAAGAAGTAAACTTAAAACTTGGTATCAGTGTTAACATTTTTTCCCCTCTAGGATACTAAACTTCCTTCATCTGTTCGGAATACACTTCTGGAGCTTTTTGGGCAAATAGAGCGAGAGTTTGAAAACCTTTATATTGAAAATTTGGAATGTGAGTATGGTTTTCTTATAATTTGAAAACAACTATAAGGAATTCATTGTGGTCATAAAATACTCTGTATGCTAGATTATAGTAGGATTCATTGTGGTCATAAAATACTCTGTATGCTAGAAAGTAATGTACCCTTATTTAGGACTTTTCATTGTGAAGGATTTACAAACCGCCTAAAATCATATTCCTAAATTGGAGTCTGCCCCTTTTCTGAAAAAGTGCCTTGGGATCTTTTCCACAAGGAATTAGGACTCCTGTGGTGTCTTACCTGAAAGATAGAACTCTGACAGCATTGTGCTCCTAAGCACCATACTGGGTAATTGTTTCAGTATTGACTCAAAGGGAAGCCTGCTGTCTCCCATTATCAGTGCTACAGCTTCCTGCATGACACAGGTGTTCTTAGAGGTCTCCAATCAGGGTATTAATTGGATGTAACCCTGATTAGGTTGTGAGATCAGATGGGATTATAGTTCTAGTATGTCTACAGACCATTTTTTGTTAGTGTGGGCTACTTTAGTAAAGAGGATTCACAATACATATATTAGCATTATTCAATACCTGGGGTTTTCTGATTAGTTAGTATATATTATACACACACAAAAATTAAAAGACCATTGTTGCAAAGTCAAGCACTCAAAAGTTGGGAAATGCCTAGGGTCTGGTTGAAAAAAAGTATGTGATCATGTAATTTAAGACTGTATCATAATGCATATACACAAGGGCTCAAATTAAGCTTGGACAGCAAACCTTAATTCTGATATTTCCTAACTTTTGAGTGTTCAACTCTGCAGCCTTAAAGTTCTTTGAACACTGTGTGTGTAATTTCTTGGTATTTTTAAAAAGCAAACAGGAAAAAAAAATCTGGCATCTAGTAGACACCCACATCATTCATCAGCAGTGTTGGAACCTTCAGAGCCACCACACACACCTTTGTAATTAGGAGTAACTGGTAGCAATAGTAGATTGCCATCCTCTGTGCGAATTAGCACTAGAGGGGAATATGGGACATTTTGCCAGTGGATTTTGCAGGTATTTGCTGACGACAGGGGAATGATGGGACCAGGCTGTCTTGGGTTCCATTCCAGACTCTGGAGGGGACTGTGCTCTTCCATCTTTTCCCCCACAGTATGACCCCATCTGTCCCTGTTCCAGTTCTCTCTTTCCCACCCTGGCTCTGTGTCTCAGTTCCATTCTACTCATCTAGCTAGTCCCACTCTCCACTCAGGCTTCTAATCCCAGTCCGTCTCTTTGCCCAGTCATTCCCAGCTCTTTGTCTCCAGCCCCAGTGCCCAGCCAGTCGCAGTTTCCCCTCCCAGCTCTTCATCTGATCTCTGTCCCCGCCCTGGCCTACCATTACGTCCCATGCATGTTCCCCATTCCCTCTGGCTTCCCATGCCAAAGCTCCGTGTCTAATTTCAGTGTCCATCCCGCCCCCTCCACATACACATGCTCCTGCACCCATTGTCACAGTCTCCTTGCCCAGGCTCTCTCCCCAGTTACTCATTTGATTTGTCTCCTCTTCCACCTACTGGCTCCCAGTCCTACTCTCCTTGTCCAGCCAGTCCCTCCTCCCTTTCCCCTTGGGCTCCTTGTGCCAGTTCTACTAAACCAACAGGTCTGCTTTGTCTCCCTCTACATTCAAATCAACCAGCTTCCTCCTCCATGCTGCCTGAGCCCAGCAGAGTGGTCATTGAGAGCACAGGGGAGTGTGTGTCCCTGATCTCAATTTAGGTGTGCAGACCTGGCACAGCCTCCAGCAACCCAGAGCTGTGGTTTCAGGGAAAGTCCTGCTCAGTTCTTGGCTGGAGACTGCCCATTGTGGATGGAATCTTCAGGGAATTTAGCTGCTCAAATCTAGGTTTCTATTGAGTATGTGCAAACTTGCTATTTTTTTTCAAATGCCTGTAATTTGGCCAGATGTTGATGGATTTTCACAGAAACAGCAAACTGTACATCCCTGGCACAAAGGCCACTCTGCCAAATTTCAAGTCACTGCTCTAAAATACAGGGGTAAGAGCTTTTAGAAGAAAAAGTTCTCATAATTGAACTTGTGCAAAACATATTTTTCCCTGGCCTTGTTCTCTGAAGTGGCTGAACCATTTTGGCTGAAATTTTCTAATAAACTTTAGCCTGAGGCAGACACCAGGCATGGAAAACTTCAGCCAAGCAATTAAGTTTGGCAAAGGTATAAAACATTGAAAACTGTGTGTTTTATCATAGGAAGTATTGGGTAACCTTAGTTAGTGGTGCTATCAGCCCTGCTTATAAAAAATTGTATAGTACAAATGGTTAGTATGGGTGGTTTAGAGAAGTAATGGTAAAAGTAAATTGTGCAATACTGTATGTACACCGTATCGGAGGTGCTGTTGAGATTCTCATTCATGTTGTGAACATAGTTTTTTATGCTTACATGCAAAAACTACTTCTGTATTACAGTAAATGTTTATGGAACACTTGAATGAAACACATTAAATGTATAGTACAAACATCGAATTTTTCTTTTAAAAATAAGTTAATCTTAATTAAGATACTTCTAGGAATAAAATGAGTTACTCCTGGGAGAACTCGGTGCCAAAAAATTAAAAATTCTGTGCACAATATTTTAAAATTCTGCATATTTTATTTGTCAAAATAACACAATACAATCACACCAGTTTCAATTATTTTGGTCATTTATTTCAAAATACCTGTCAGCGAGTATGTCTGTAACTAAAGCGCTAACAAAGGGTCAGGGAATGTTTTTTGACAAATAGATTCCTTACTAGGCATATTAACACAGAACTCTTGAGTAATAATTCATTTTAAACTGTTATACAGAACAGTTTTTCCTGCACTCCACAGAAACAGAGCAAAGGCTGGGGGGAGTCAGGGGTAACAGAAGTGCTGAGGGAGAGAGAAGTAAATTGCTGGGAAGGAGCCTGGGTGTGAACTTGGAGTGTTTGGTATGGGTGGGAAAAGTATGGAACAGGTTTTTTGTGGGGGCTGGGAGGGATTGTTAGGGAGCTTCTGGCTGACCCCAGCCTCTCCCATGTGTCCTTGCACCCCCTGTCCACATGTCTCTCCACCCACAGTCAGACACCCCATCTCCATGTGGCTCTGTGCCCCCACCCAGGCACTCCCCCCGTCCCTATGTATCCCTGAACCACCTCCCCGTCCCTATGTGGACCTGCACCTCCACTCCCATTCAGCCCCTGCCCCAGTCTGTCATCCCGCATTAGCCCTTATGAGCCTCTCTCTGACCCCCCCCCCCCCCCAGCACCCCCACGCTGTCTGTCTCTCCGTAGCCCCTGTCTCCTGACCTGTGAAGAAGTCTCTGCAGGCTCTTTCTCTTTCTTGGCAGGCTGGGAGCTGCTGTGTTCTAGTTCCACAGCGCCCTATGGTGGGCAAAAGGTGGAACTGCAGTAACTTTTTGGCAGAAGCTTTTTTTTGCGCAAAAAATTTAAAATATGCGTGGCTCATTAATTATGCGAATGCACAGTAGCGCATAGTTCCCCCGGGAGTAATGAGTGTTCTTGTTTAATCTTATTAGCTTCAATATGCTGTTGTCCTACAGTATCTTTTTGATTTTCAGCAATGCACTAGCTTCAAATCAATAGCATACAGAAGGAAAAACTCTGCTTTATAACTTAATAGAACCTGGAAATGACTTGCTAATTGTGGATGAAATAACTGCTATGAGGCCACAGACTTACATTCACTTCCCAAATTTCCATTTTTTGAGTGGAGTTTTTGATGCATGAGTTCTACACACATTACAGGTATTGTCCTGTTAGTGTTCGGTCACATCAGCTAGCAAACTGTAGTGAGAAGTGATAAGACTATTTGGCAAAGTTTCCTTGGAACCTGGGTCAAGGTTTATCTTTGGTTGGGAAATTCAGCATGACATTTTTTCTTTGTTTAGAACATGCAGACTGCTTTTATAAGAATATAATAAACTATTCTTGTGACTCATAACATAAAATAGGTGACTTAATACCACGAAATTCCTTAGAGTACAGTATTTTAATGATGTGCTTTTAATTGCTTATTTATATTCACTTTTTTTGCTACTGTTAGTACGTCGAGAGATCGATACACTTAATGAGCGCTTAGCAGTTGAAGGACAGACAATTGACGGAGCTGAACTGAGCAAAGGACAACTGAAAACAAAAGGTAAGATAAATATTAACAAATATTAGGTTTTCTGTAGCTTGCTTTTCCTACTTAGCTTAACAAAATTTACAATTTAGTTAAAGGGAATTGATACCATTGCACAAATAAGTTAACAAACTTATTACCCGAAATATTTTCCTTTGAACTTATTTGTCTCAACAGCCAGTCATAGTACCAGTCAGCTTTCACAGAAATTGAAGACCACTTACAAGGCATCTACCAGCAAGGTATGAGACAAACTAAACCTCTCCTTAACGTTCATGAGACTAACGTGGCTGTTTCTACGTGATAATGTATTGTATGTTAAGTGGTATAATTTCATTTGTAAATAAACATGCCTAGTAAATAGTATCTATCTTGGATTCAGCAATTATCCCTCACTTCAGAAGTGATATACTAAGCTTCTGGAAAATATGATTAAGAACGCTAATAGAAATTGGAGTATGGGATTTTATGGTAGTGTAAACTACAAAAGAGTTATTTTCATGTTGAAAATACAAAATTAACTGTTAAGTTTTGACTAAGGACTTCTTTGAGAATGACCTCTAAAACTATCCTTAGAAGGCCTTGCAGCTGAATTGATTTAAACTGGTTGATTGTCTATGTAGTGTGGTTTTGAGCTTTGTCCTATCACAGGTTGTCTATTCTTGATCTTCAAGTTCCCAACCTCTCTATCATGCTCCTTTCCAATAGGCAGATAGGCACCCCTTCTTGCACTGTGTCTGTTCACAGTTGCCACAGTCTTACCATTTATGTCCCCATGTTGACATTTCTCTCCATTTTTGGTCTTATTTTTCTGTATTCCTGTACTTTTTTTTTATCTACCCGTCTTTTTCTCCCTCCCATTCCCAAACCACTAGATGTCTACACACTGCTCTTTTTTGCTTGGCGTGAGGGTCATTCATTGGTCGCTTCATGGGGAAGGGCAGTAGAGGTGTTTGCAATGAAAAATGGTGCCCGACCTTGTAGATTAAATACTTGAACTGTTCCCATGGTTAGCTCCATTATGTGCTGCTGTGGGAGTATAGAGGCATTGTCGGAGATTTTTACAGGAGCCATTTACTGCTCTACTTGGAAGTGTGGGAACATGGATACAGTATGGTGAAGCAGACCTAACCTTATGCACCTTTTTCAGGCCCCACTCTCTTCTCTGATCCCTTTTACGCCTTAGAATTAGTCTGACAATCTCAAAGGCCTGCCAACAAGCTGGGAAAACATTAGTATAAGAAAGTAAATGCTAAAAATTAACACAGTGCTTAATTTTTGGGTGATTCAAAGTTAATATTTTGTATATAATCTAGATAAATAAAAAGTAAGGAGATGCACTGGCCTGGCTTTAAAGTCTGTATTTAATGTGCATGGATTTCTTTAGACAAAATTCATATACGGGGAAACAAAAGGATAAGAATGAGGTATTTTTTTTTATTATTTATTCCAGTCTAACAAGTTTATTCCCTTACTCCCTGAAGACTTTTATAAAGTTCCTATTGTTGTGGACCAGTCTGCATGTACTAATGTGATGAGCATATACCCCCATTTTTTGTAATGCATAAGTTGCAAATTCATTAACGAGGCTAGTTAAAATATGGGCAACATAGGATTAATTGTACAGCTATTTTGTAGTCACAGAATAGTACTTTTCATTTCGATGAATATGCAGAAATTACTGTTTGTAAAGCAGGTGTTGAATACTTATCTTCTCTTAATTGCTTGCAATGTAGCACTCAAATTCTTTCCCAGGCAAAGCAGGTGGACCTCGCAACTTCTACGTGGGAAGCTGGGAAATATGGGGTGGAGACTCATGGGTAACTGCTTTGCTTCCCAGTGTGCCAATATGCATGTACAGCTAAGTAGTGGCGAATGGTGGAACATGCAGAATCTCATAATTTTTCATGGGTATCATATCTGTCAACTGTGCCATGTCAGAAGACTTCGCACTCTTCATTGTTACTCATTTACTGCTCTTGCTTGTATATACAAAACAATGAATCAGAAGAGTAAAAAAGGCTGCACTGGAGGTAGCATCTCTTCCCACTGTGTTCTGCTGAGTTTAACCTCTGCAGTTTGTGGGAGTGTGCTCATTTTGAACAGTCACTTTTCTGAGTGGGAATGTAGTCACTCTTTGGCTTCTGTAAAACAAAGAAACTACAATGCACTTAGAGACAGAAGTTCAGGAAAGATATACAGAATAATATCTGTAAAAAATAAAAAAAATTAAAGTTAAATAAAATTCTCTTGCACTCAAACTCCTTAGGGGAATCTGCCAAAGAGCTGTAGGATAGCAACTGCATGGCTAAGTCAGAGGGAATGGAGCCTCAATTTTCCACTTTAAGTGTCAGACTGCTGTATTGGGCTTGACTGATCAGGTTCTTCATTCTTCTTTCTACTGATGCTGTAGTGTAGTTAAGTGCCATTTTGACATCCGCCTTTCGAAATGGAAATAACTTGTAACTGGCTTGATATTAAGACGTCAATACAAGATCAAGAAGGTGAAAGTGAGCAGTTTTATGAAAGAAGACTTTATCTAAAGTATCTTAAATAGCAAGTGACAGGGCATATTTTTAATAGGTAAATCTTAAATTAATATCCACGTAAGGTATATTTGAAAGTTTTCTCTCGTGAAAGGGGTTTTTAATCGATTCAGTGGTATTTGAATAACTTTTTTGCTTCCTCTTTGCACCGTAGTTCATGGAGGTGGAAGTAGTAGTAAAATATTCCAGTAAATAAAATCACCTGTGTTTGAAGTGGGAGAAAGCAAAGGAAAACAGATTTCATTTGTTATCTCTCCTGTAAAGATATTTGTTTCAGAATTCTTATTCCTGAGTTTTAGCTCCCAAATGTGGCACAGTAAAAACTGCCCAGGCTTTAAAAGTTTATCACTAAGTCAGTAATAGTGGTCTTGGGTGCAAGTCAACTATCAGTATTGGCCACACACCCAACTGAGGAGAGTCAGCTACTGTGTTTGAAAATTACAGTCAATTCTTAATTGGTGGTGGTGCGGTGCTGGGAAGGCTCCTTCCAGAAAACTAAGACAATCCCCAAAGAACTCCTGCATAGAAAAAATCATGGCTCAGAATCACAAACTTAGAATTCAAACATAAACACCACCTGAAACAAACCCATCAAATCTGTGGGAAGTGGATCGGTGAATTTCTGCCAAATGGTTTTCAGAGAAGCAGTATTACAAGGTAAATAATTAGCTCTTCTCTGTGGGCACCATTTTTTACATAATTCTTACTCTTGAAGAGTAAGTAATTTAAGGCTTTTTCTAACAGAAGAATATAGCAATGACTACTAAAAAGGGCTTTAAAAATGAAGGCAAATGCCAGATGCTCAAACTATGATGTGTCTAAGTACATGGCTTGACAAGCCTGCCTTGTTGAAGCTCTTTTCCAGAGAGACTTTAATGACAATGGGAAGAAAATGCATAAGAACTTAAACTGACAGAATCATTTTCAAAAACTGAAGATAAAATAACTTTGCCTAGGTTACTTTGTAATGGCATCTTCAAGGGGGCAGTGTGGGCTCAAGAGCCGAAAGGTGTGTATATATGTAACTTTGAAATAATAAACAGTTGAGAGGTATGTTAGTCCTTTTTCTGTAACTTCCTTCTACTATTCTGCTTTGCATACATGGCTCCATTTTGTTTTAAGGAGTATATTAAATCTGAAAGCTGCATTTTAAGATTGTCTTGAAGGTTTTTTGATTAATTCTGCAGTATGGTTAAACTACTAATCTCTACCTTGTTTTGTGAGGATTAACCTGTTTCCTTTTAAATGCATCCTTAAGTGATTGTTGCTTCTGTTGATTTGAAGCTGTTCTGTTTATTAACTATTAAATTTTGACTTTATAGAGGATTTCATCATTAGAAGACAACATGCAAAAAAACCTTGGGAATATTTTAATTCTCAATATTCTTCCAGGCTTCTTCTGTTTTTATGAAGTCTCTTTCCTGGAACAGTTTCACTTTGTTTTATCACATGATATTTGAATTCCATGTCTTGGTCTAGTTCAGTCATTACAGATTAATAGGACTTCATTCTTAGTAATAATATTTTTCCAGAGTAAAACCTCTGATAGAGGAAATTCTTTGTAGCTGAAATGTAGAATTATTTAAGATCCTATTTGCTTTTAATTCCAGACATTTTAGGGTTTCAATTAACCAGTGTCTGACTACATAACTTAAAATATCTGTTCATAATTATAATTTTAAGAATTTTTTCAGGATATATTATTTACAGAATTTGTACCCAACTTTGGGGTGCCATCTTCCTCATAATATACTTGTTAAATGAGCTCCAAAGTTTGTGAAAATGAAGGAGTAGTGCCTACATCATAAATGAGCGAAGCTTGTTTTTTATCCCCTTTATGTTGGGGGATTTTCTGTTTGTACATGCTTAGTTTCAGCATGTCTCTGTCATGCTCCGGCAAGGCAAATTTTATTTTTATCTTGCTTCCACTTCCCTTTGATCTGGAATTTATCCGATTCAGATACCCTAATATGGATGGGTCACCACTGTGTTCAGCGTTCCTGCACTAATATAATCATTTATTTTCCTGTAAGATGGGTATTTTTTCTCTTGGTTCTGTTATCTGCTTTCTTGTTCTGTTAATACTTATCTAAATACTAATTTTGATTTAATAAAATGTTCTTCTTAACAGCACTGAATCTAAGGGAATGTGACCAGCAAGTGGCTCAGATATAACTTTGTTAGCCTCTGATTTTTTGGCACTTTTGTGAAAGAATGCTTCATTATCATGCAAATTGAACTGCCTGCATATGCTTCCTGGTTAATTCTTATATACTGCAAAATGTTAAAGACTTAAAACTAATTGAATTGTTTTGCAATTTTGAAGAAAAGTGGCTTAACATTTTTGGAATTTTTTTTTACGCATTTTTGGCAGCTCTACATGTTGTATGGAAAACAAATTTTCCCAGACTTATATAATACAATACAGTTCACATCAGACAGCAAAATACAAGCTACCCTCAGGCACATACCCATTTGTGGGGAGGGGAAGGGAAATTCTTATAACCAAGGACCTCCTACCAAACTGAATGGAAAATGTAGACATTGGGCCAAATTCTGTTCTGTGGTATCTGTGCCATCTCATTTGTATTGCATTATTCTAACCCAGGACAAAATGTGTCCCATTGTCTTCATAAGAAAACATTGAGAGCATATGCATCAAAAGACTTATTTTCCTGCAGTTAAAGGTCAAGAAACTCTTGATAAATAATGAACTATGAGAAAAATGTTATCTATTTATGTTAACAAAGGCTGTGCATAGTGCCTTTTTGGGGGTGATTAACAATTATCTGCCGATTGATAGGAAAAATAAATTGTTCTTTCTGCTATTATAGATTGTATCCAGTTTCAAAACTACAACATCGAGGGCAATCTGTCAACTGGTGAAGGAGTATGTTGGCCACAGGGATGGTATTTGGGATGTCAGTGTCACGAAAACTCAGCCAGTGGTGTTGGGGACGGCATCTGCTGGTAATGTTTTGTTTTAACTCCAGTATCTCTCACATGTTTGTGTTTAGATTTAAAGCATAAGTGAAAGCTTAGTTGCATTCTATATATGAGAATGTCTTCATGGGTCTTTTATTTTAGATCTTGATTTAATTGCATTTGTTTGGCTAACTGTCCTTTCAAATAGTTTATATATTTATCCTGATGATAGATTTATATTAAGGAGCTTAAACTCTCTAAACAAAATGAAATGAATTTATCTGAAATTCTGTTTAGCCTGGATATATGTGGGAAAGTTCAAGTATCCTAGTTGCGTGTTAACCTTCAGTCCTGAGTTAGCGGTGATCCACTTACAATTTAATGGCAATTCAGTGTGCTAAAAGGAATGGATGTAGTATCATTTAGGGAGCTCCTTTTTTCCCTTCTTTTCTCAAAAGTCCCATAAGGTAATTTTGGGTGGTTGTTAACTTGGAGGGTACTCATATGGGATACTACAATTGGGGGAGATAGGCTATATGTACACAGTTAACAATAGGTCGTGTCTGGTTTTGTGTGTGGTTAATGAGCCCTTTGGGAAGCAGTGTCATTAATATCATTAATGACACTTCTCTTCTTTGTTTCTGTGGGATCCAGAGGTGCAGTAGTGATTGCTTCCATACATTTAATTGTATGGTGTCTGAGGCATACAGTTGAAAGTAATCCAGGTTTTTGATGCTACCTAAGCATCTAGAAGCAGCTGAAGATCTGTAAGGATCACAGATTGAGGACCTTATTAATGTATATTGTCCCTCAGTTGCGAGGCAGATACTACAGCCGTCAGTTCACACTTAAATATTTTTTGGCAACAGCAGCATTACCTCTATATCAGCCCCTATCTTGGACGGACACTGAGAAAGTAAAGCTTTGTTACCTCTAGGTTGGATATATTCTAATTGGCGTTACCTTGGAGAGTAGATCAGCATGTGGAGATGCTTAGTGGTGTTCAGTGTATGGAGCACTTACCATATGTGCACCACAGACTGAACTGGCTATTGCTTCTCGGTACAAATGAGTTGTTTTAATTTACAAAGCCCTGTATGTTTTAGGTCCTGATTGAACTTAGAAACATCTTTTCTCCTTTTGTTGCATCTCTGCAACAGATCATGTTGGATGCTCTTTACTTGCAATCTGAGGACTCCTATCTGTTGAAAGGCCTTCTTGAGTGAATGAAGCAAATACTCTCTTGTGGGTTCCGTTTAAGTTGACTTTTTCCCCCCCATCATTTCAGTTGTTTTTAATGTTTTAGGCATAAAAACAGCCTAAAATTGATGGGTACATAGTTCCATTCATCTTTTTCTAAGTAATAGAATACAACTTCTAGAAGTAGAACATGCCTGTCAAAACTCATCTCAAACTAACTTGATTTAAAGTAGCAGCTTCCTGTTAAATTTTATAATTGACACTAACCATTTTTTTCAAGTTGCAGTGAATGGAAACTTTGAAAATACAATGCAGCTTTCCTTTAAGTACTTAGTCAATTGAAGCTTATTTCATTTGTCCTGCTAGCAATTATGCTTTTCACTGTAAGGCTTGTATAATAGTAGTTGAAAAATAAAATTTTGCATATACTTGCAATGCTTACAAATGCTTCTGCTTTAACCTTTGTAGACCATACTGCCTTGCTGTGGAGTATAGAAACAGGAAAGTGCCTTGTCAAATATGTAGGGCATGTTGGATCAGGTAAGAGCATACAAGGTGCTTGGAGTGGGGTTTGGGTGCACATATATATGTATGTGTATGTATGTATACATATACACATACATACATGTTAATCTTTCTATAATGCCTTCCATTATAAATGTTCCCAACTCTATTAGAAAATTCCATTGTAAAGCTTCCCTAATCTTTGTCTTACAAAAATGTTTTCTGACAATGCTCCTCTTTAAAGCTAACCTGTAAAATACTTCTATCAATGTTGAGAATAAAATACATTATACAGACAAAAACTGTTAAAAGAACACTATTAAGATTGCCAAGTCATGCACTCCAAATGTAGAATATGCTAGAATCAAGATGGCCTGTGCAACCTTTAATTTATAATATCTGAGTGTTCCACAAGCATGAACTTAGTTTTACAATCCCCCATTGAGATGAGGAGATATTATCTCCATTTTACAGGTCCAACAGAAAATAGCGTACAGTGCTGCACAATGCTGATTCATTACCAAAAAAGGTCTGTCCTGTGCACTGAATGAAAGAGATCGTATGGGAAAAAAGAAGTCTTTAATTACATAATCACATCTTATCATAATGCACATGCACAAGGCAGACAAATAAAGGTTGCACAGGTGGATTTTCACTGGAATAGCAAACGGCCCATCCTTGGCATAACGGCATCCCTGTTTTCAAATTTCAAGTCCTTGCACCAAAGCGGAGAGTGCTAGCTTTTCTCAAAGGAAGTTGACAGATTTTTTTAATGTGGGCAAAATGTATCTTTTTTTCCTAGCCTTATTCTTGGAAATTGCAGAATTGTTTTGGCTGAAATTATCTAATAATACTCACTTGGAGGCAGACACCTGGCATGAAAATTTTAGTCTGAACAGTTAGTTTTTCAAAGTTATAAGCAGTCAAAAACAGAGTCATATGATGGGAAGCATCTGGCAAACCTGATAATGGGAGGTGATGCCTGTCCTGCGTATACTCTTAAATGTATTTGATTCTTTTGAAAACATATAAAAATGAATAATATTGTAATTAAAACATGCTTTGTTACTACCTGGGCTTTTGAATATCTCAAGCTGCCAGGGATATGGTAGCTTTTATAAAAATCATGTTGAAAGTTTCAACCACTTCATTTGTTTACAGATGTTCATTTTTGAGTTACTAAGTAATTAAATGTGAAAGTTATAAAGGTTCTAGTCAATTTTATTAAAACAAAAAATTAAAATTTATTTAGTTTATATGCAGAACACTTAAACACGATGAAGGTCCTAAATTATCATGTTAATACAATTCTCATTGACATGTATGACTCTCTTAATTCATACTCTGTGAGCAATTAAAATGGAATACATCAGATGTAAAGTAGAACAGCAATAATCATTGCAATGTGGAATTGATTCTGTGAATTAATAATTATAAACAATTTCAGGGCTAGCTTTGTAAATGTATTACAAAAACCCCAAGAACTCGTTCAAAAAATGTCCATAATATTTTTAAATTACAGGCATTCTAAAAAATTAAACAACTTTTTACTAAATAGAGTAGTTACTCTAAGTGACAGTTTTTTTGTGAAGCATTTCAGAAGGGCAATATACAGATACAAAAAAAATTATTAGAAATGTGTAGTGAACAAATATGTTTGACCCTCAGCTGTTGGAATATAGTCTAAAGGATTTATTGGCATTCTACTTTGGTAGGCCTAATATTGGCCTCTGCTATTGCAAGATTATGTTCTATTTAACATAATGTTTCACCAGCACTTATTAGTAACTTTGTAGGAAGTTGTTTGTTTGAAGTCCTTCAGCAAACAACTAATTCTTTACTGAGGACAAAGAGGAAGATGAAAAAGCTAGCATGAAATCTAGTGTACATTCCTTGTTCAAACGTAAAAATGAATTTAATACAATAACTCTAGTATAAAGAGTTCTTCATTACCTTACATTATTCAACACTGAGTGTGAAGACTTCTATGGTCCTGCAAATGTATGTGTATCTTAAGAAATTTTCACTAAAGTAGAAAAAGGTCCATCTGCCAGTCATAAGGAATCCCGAGGTTACTTGTATTACTTGCTCATGTCATTCAACATTAAATATTTCTGCTGTATCCACTAGGTGGCTTATTTAATTGTAGTCACAGTGAGAAACTTTTATCTTTATGTATAAACTAGTCTACTTAGGTTTATGTGGCTAATAATTTTAGAATCATAGAATTGTAGGACTGGAAGGGACCTCGAGAGGTCTAGTCCAATCCCCTGCACTCAAGGCAGGACTAAGTATTTTCTAGATCAGGGGTCGGCAACCTTTTAGAAGTGGTGTGTCGAGTCTTCATTTATTCTCTTTAATTTAAGGTTTCGCGTGCCAATAATACATTTTAATGTTTTTTAGAAGGTCTCGCTCTATAAGTCTTTATATTGCATAACTAAACTATTGTCGTATGTAAACAAGGTTTTCAAAATGTTTAAGAAGCTTCATTTAAAATTAAATTAAAATGCTGATCTTACACTGCCGACCGCTCAGCCCGTTGCTGGCCTGGGGTTCTGTTCACCTAGGCCGGCAGCAGGCTGAGCGGGGCCTGCGGCAGGGACCCCGGCTAGCAGGGGGCTGGCAGCCAGCCCAGACCGGCAGGAGGCTGAGCGGGGCCAGCGGCTGGGACCCTAGACCAGCAGTGGGCTGAGTGGCTCAGCCCGCTGCCGCTCAATCCCCTGCCGGTCTGGGGTTCCGTCTGCCGGCTCCTGTCAGCCAGAGTCCCGGCTGCTGGCCCCGCTGGATCCGCTGCCGGTCGGGGGTCCTGGCCCTGTCCACATAGAGTAGGTACCTACCTTCTCCCTGGTTCTAGCCATTTTGTTCCTCTCTCTGCACTGAGATGAGGGTGGGAGTGTGCTGAGACCAGGGCTGGGGGTGAAGGAGCAGGTTGGGGTGCCAGTCTGGCCAGGAGCTAGAATGAGGGAGGGGGCTCAGGGTTGGGGCAGGAGGTTTGGGTGTGGAGCGCTTACCTGGGCAGCTCCCATTTGGTGTGAGGGGTGCAGGTAGGAATGTGGGGTGTGTGTGTGCAGGAGCTCCCGTTTGGTGCTTAGGACAGGGGGCTGGGTATGTGTGGGGGGGTGCCGAAGTCAGGGCTGGGGCTGTGGGGGGGTGCAGGGGTCAGGGCATGGAGCTGGGGATGTATGGGGGTGCAGGGGTGAGGGCAGAGGGCTGGGCGTGTGAGAGGAGGGTTCAGAAGTCAGGGCAGAGGGCTGGGGGTGTGTGAGGGGGGTGCAGGGGTCAGGGCTGGGGGGTGTGGAGGTTCAGGGCAGGGGGCTGGGGTGTCTGTGAGGGGATGCAGGAATCAGGGCAGAGGGCTGGGGTGTGGGCTGGGGTCGTGGGGGTGCTCCCAGCCCCCTGCCCTGAGCGGCTCGTGGCAGGGGGCTGGAGGGAATATCCCCGATTCCACCCCCCTCCACAAGGTCCCCGGAGCAGAGTGTGTGCTTCGGTTCCGCTTTTCCCTCTCCCCCTAGGTAGCAAGGGCCATCAGCTGATGGGCCGCAGGGAGGGAGAGAAGGAGGTGCAGGAATCCAGCACACTGGGAAAAGAGGTGTGGGGGGAGCTTGCCTGCCCTGCAAGGAGAGAGTGGTGGGCGGGGGGTGGAAAAGAGCAGGCCAGGCAGGAATTTTAATGGGGGTCTGGCAGACAGTAGCATGCCATTTAAAAACTGGCATGTGTGCCATAAGTTGCCAACCCCTGATCTAGATAATCCCTGACAGGTGTCTAACTTGTCCTTAAAAATCTCCAGTGACAAAGATTCCACAACCTCCCTAGGCAATTTATTCCACCCTGACAATTAAGAATTGTTTCCGAATGTCCAATCTAAACTGCTGTTACTGCAATTTAAGCCTGTTGTTCATTGTCCTATCCTCAGAGGTTAAAGAGAACAATTTTTCTCCCTCCTCCTTGTAACAACCTTTTATGTACTAGAAAACTTTTATGTGCTCCCCTCAGTCTTCTCCAGACTAAACAAACCCTTTCCCGTCATAGTTCTCAACATTCAATCATTTTTTGTTCCTCTTCTCTGGACTTTCTTGAATTTTTCCACATCTTTCCTGAGATGTGTCACCCAGAACGGACACAATACTCTTATATGAGGCCTAATCAGCGCAGAGTAGAGCAGAAGAACTACTTCTCATGTCTTGCTTATAACACTTCTGCTAATACATCCCAGAATGTTTTGGCCCCCCCCCCCTTTTTTTTTTTTGCAAGTGTTACACTGTTGACTATATTTAGCTTGATTCTCTATGCCCCCAAGATCCCTTTCCACAGTATTCCTTCCTAGTCAGTCATTTCCTATTTTGTATGTGTGCAACTGATTGTTACCTCCTAAGTGGAATACTTTGCATTTGTCCTTATTGAATTTCATCCTATTTACTTCAGACCATTTCTCCAGTTTGTCGAGATCATTTTGAATTTTAATCCTATCTTTCAAAGCTCTTGCAACCCATCCAACTTGGTAACATTCACAAACTTTGTAAGCGTACCCTCTATGCCATAATCTAAATCACTGATGATGATATAGAACAGAACCGGACCCCACTCGATATGCCCTTCCAGCTTTACTCTGAGCCAGTGATAAATACTCTGAGGGAACAGTTTTCCAAACAGTTATGCACCCACCTTATAGTAGTTCCATCTAGGTTGTATTTCCCTAATTTTTATATAAGAAGGTCATGCAAGACCTTATTAAAAATCTTTTGAAAGTCAAGATATACACATCCATCATTTCTCCCCTGTTCACAAGGCTTGTCACCGTTCAAAGAAAGCTGCTCGGTTGGTTTGATATGATTTGTTCTTCACAAATCCATGCTGACTAGTACTTATACCATACTGTCTTATCACAAGCCTTCAGGATAAAATTTGACTGTTCAAATGTTTTTACCATTTAAGCTGACTTCTTTTCTAAAAGATTTTTTCCTGTAACTTTCACCTAAAATTTGGTTTGTTTTACACAGTAAATTCTATAAAGTTCCATCCAACGGAGCAAGTAGCCCTTACAGGTATGTAGAATTTTTGTTTCATGAATTGTGCTAGTCATAAGAAAGTAAAAACAAACCACTCTTTACTGTAACACTGTGTTAGCTCTTGCTGAGTAGCAGATATTTTTGATGTTATCCCCATCTTTCCCTCTCCAATTCCCTACTATTTATTAACTCATTCTAATTTAATAAGCTTTTGGTGCAGAGATCATGTCTTTTCTGATTTGGGAAATATCTAGTAGTCCTTAGTATGCAGATGGGAATAATAAATATCTCATTGCCATTTTACATTTTTATTTTCTATTCTAATTTTCTTCAAATAAAGAAAAACCTAATGATAGTTTCTTCATTAATATTAAAAAGTATCGACTTCAAAAGGCAATAATGGAACGATATTCTCTGTATAGTGGCTGTTATATATTATGAGTGTGACAACTTTTTCATTGGCCATAACATCGTCAATACAGCATCGTGTTCAAATCTGTAGGATGTGGTTAATCCTGTGGTTCATCTGATTCAGAGTTAAGGTGCTAGCTTTAGGATTCAAGAGACTGGGATTCAGTTGCCTGTTTTGCTATAGGCTGCCTGTGTGACCTCTGGGACAAGTTACTTAATATCTCTGTGCCTTACTTCCCTATAGGTAAATGGACATAATGGAACTTCCCTGTTAAACAGGGGTGATGAGGAAATACATGTTCAAGATTGGGAGGCATACAAGGGTTATGGGGACCATATACATACCTATGAAAGTAAATATTTCTTCCCAGACAATCTTTTGTGGTGGATTTTCTCTAGCATTTATAGTTGAATCTGCTCAAGCTTAGAGTTATATAATAGCTAGAGCCCTACCAAAATCACAGGTCCATTTTGGTCAATTTCACGGGCATAGAATTTTAAAAATTGTAAATTTTCAGATTTAAACATCTGAAATCATGAATTTCAGTGGTGTAGCTGTAGCAGTCCAGACCCAAAACGGGGTTCTGGGGGGGGGAGATTTGCAAGGTTATTGTAGGGGGGGTCGCAGTATTGCCATTCTTACTTCTGTGCTGCTGCTGGCGGCGGTGCTGCCTTCAGAGTTGGGCGGCTGGAGAGCTGCGGCTGCTGGCAGGGAGCCCAACTCTGAAGGCAGCGCCGCTGCCAGCAGCAGCGCAGAAATAAAGGTGACATGGTATGGTATTGACACCCTTACTTCTGCGCTGCTGCTAGTGGTGGTACCCCTACAATAACCTTGTGATTCCTCTCCCTAAAACCCCCCCTCATCACCACCCAGTAGCCCCTTTTTGGGGTGGGACCCCTTCAGGTCTCCCCCATGAAAACCTGTATAGTACAGGGTAAAAGTAGACAAAAGACCAGATTTCATAGGGGAGACAAGATTTCATGGTCTGTGACGTGTTCTTCATGGCCATGAGTTTGGTAGAGCCCTAATAGCAGTAAGGTTGAAATACTGTAGCAATTATAAACCTCATTTTCCTTCCTCCAAAAGCCAAAGCTGAGTTTTCTCTGTTTAATTTGAAGTTGCTCAAACAAGCCACTTTTGAGATATGGGATGCTGAAAAATGGCAAAGTTCTTAACCTCTAGCTGTTTCTACACTGTCCTCTAGTATGAAGTGAATTTATAATGGAAAGAAATAAACCCAGAATGCTGAAGGTAGGAAATTATCAGATAAAGTTTTAACACCAACCTTGAGTGTACCCTTGTTTCTACCAATCCTCCTCCTTCTAGCATCACTGTAGGGCCTCAAATCCTCATGAAAAAACATGCCAAAGAATACTCCTCATTTAGATCTACCAACCACATGTGCTGGAGAGTCCACTATGAGCCAGAAGCCATCTCGCTTCATACTTTCTCATAGGGGCAGTAACAGAGATCAGCTTGTACCCGTTTCTTATTACACAGTTGGGCAGCAGATCCCACAATATCCTGTGTACTTTCATAAGAACTTGAAATCCTCATGGAATGTACCTTGTATAGGCCACGGGTGCGTGAGAGTTACCTTGTTTCTAATTCACATATGCTATCAAGATTTAGTTTTCCTTGTTGCAGCAACTGGTAGGTCTGTAACCTTACAAAATTTGATGCTACATTGAGCTACTTAAGGTAGAAACCTATTTGTTGGTTTGGATTCTTCTTATAATCATACTTAATTTTTGTGTCTGATGATAAAAATCCTTGGATGACAATGGGAAAGAAGATGGGGAGAAAATTCCTTTTTATTTCCTAAAACATTGAGGACACATCAGTTGTTTTACTGATAAATAAAATCCATATTAAAATTTGCTAGTAACATCTTAGTGTTTTGGAACAGAAGACTAATAAAATGTTCACGTATACACTGTTTTCAACAGTATGTTTTCCTGAAAAGAAAGTGAATGTTTTCATTTTAAGAGTAATTAAGTTGGATGACTTCTCCCCTTTTGCGTAATGAATCATGTTCTCAGCAAACTGTCAAGCCTTGGAAACAACCATTTATGCTGAGTCTTACCAAAATTTGTGAGGAAAAAAGTGTTGTTCATGCAGCGTAGCCAAAATGTGAAAACAAAACATTTTCTGTATTGTGTTTATGGAAATATACTTACTCAGTTTATTTCTGTGCAGCATCTGGAGACCAGACGGCTCACATTTGGAGATATATGGTACAGTTGCCCATGCCTCAGCCAACAGCAGACTGCAATGTAAGCAATAAACTTACACAGACTAAAAAATGATCCTAGGTCAACTTCATCCAATTTAGGTGACATAATTACATGTAGAAGTGTAATAGACACTCTTATTTCAAGGGATATTTTCAACTCAAATTTGGGCCAAATGTTACATTTTTGTGAAAAGACAATTACAAAACTCTGTAGTCAATAGATTAATTTCTGTGGTCTTCCTTTCGTGTTTCCAAGACACATATTGCAGCACTGAATCTGAAAGTGCAACTGACTTCATTGATTTTTAATTTCCAAATAAAGAGAATTGCATAATTAAACAGAACAGTGACAAGTAAAATTTTGCTTTGTAATCCAAAATATAGTTGTTAATAAAGTTTGTATAAAATGAGATTAAAGTTGAGTGGACCTCTAACCATGTTCAAAAAAAATTGTTGAGGCACATTAGTAGGTTGTTTATGGGTCCATATGTATCAGTCTTAACTAGCATGAATAATGAACTGGTATTCAGGATTTAGCTTTATCTTGTATCCATTCATCAATACTTAGATTGAATTCAGTAGCAGTTCACTAATTTGTACTAATAACAGCGAGACCTATTATGGATTACCAAACTTTCTGAATTAGTCCCTGATCCTGAAAATGCTTAAATATGGGACTATTCACAAATGTAAAATTACTCACATTTAGTGAGTCTTACAGTATCTGGGCTTACATAAGTCGCAAATTCAGCAAAGCACTTATGTATGGGCCTCAAAGAGATTTAAATATATGTTTTAAAGTTAAGCATGTGCTTAAGTTCTTTTCTGAATTGGGGCCTAAGTGAACAAATATAATAAGGATAATGCCTCTATGTATTTCATTATTTTAGTAAGTATAGATCAGTTTCAGTCTACATTTTTTGATTTTAAAACATTATACAGATGTACTGTAGTACATTTTCTAAAAGTAGTGTAATATTAGTTATTATGGTCTCACTTCAGTCTTTTGCTATTAAATCTTTGCCAAGAACTAGGGAGAAACTGTCGGTTATCACAGACACCTGCTAACTTAATTTTGCTAATCCACAAAGCTGCTGTGTTCTACGGTACAGATTCTGGTGCAGTGTTTTCTTTGATCTGCCAAACAGACAAAATATAATGAGGCTGAGCTCCATCAGGGTATTTGTATGTGCTGTACATTTTGGGTATGTCAACACAGCAGAGGAAAACCTGGGGCTGGGCCATGCCAGTTGACTCGGGTTTTTTCTTTGCTGTGTGGGCATTTCCTTTGAGGCTGAAATGTGCCAGTTACCACACAAGAAACCCTAGTTTTTTGTTGCATGTATAACTTAAAGGTATGGTCTTCCATTGTATGAGGTATCTTCACCCACCTTTCTGGTCTATGGTACTAGTGTATCTGGATTTCAGGCCCATTCTGACATCTGTGACCTATGCATAGGGTAAGTTAGATGGTGTACAGGTTAATGTCCAATCTGTCCTTGGAGGCTAGGGTATGTAGGAATTGTTAGTGTGATAATGGCACAGTAGGATTTCAGATGTGAGAGACTAGTCTGTTTTAACTTTGATTCTCATGCACTTATGCTGTAGTGTTTCAATTACAAACACTGTAAAGGAATGTTTCATTCCAGTGGTGTCTTTGACATGTTTAAAATTTCAGTGGAAACACTTCTAGAGGTGTTTAAAACCTTTTTTTAATAACTGAAATTTGGGACCTAAATTGCTAGTGTTCTGTTGATTTTTGTTAACCACATAACCTTTTATCAATCCCTCTAACTTGTTATCAAACCAAATACTCCTACTTAAAAAAATAAAGCTGTTTAAACTGGATATTTTGCTAGTGGATTTCTGTGCAAAGAATCCTATACCCTAGTTCCATAAATTACGGACAAAACAGAATAGTGAGCTAATATGTGACTTAGTCAAGCAATGAGTGGATATGTAGTTAATACTGTCAGTATTTCTATTGTAACCTTCCATTTTTAGCTGTCTGAATGCCAGCCATTTCAGATAATTTCTCACTGATCTGTCATGGCAAATATAAATTCCCTTTCAAGTTAGCAAGGATATATTTTAGATTTTCAGAGAGAGAGAGCCCGTTTCCCCAGTCAGTTTAGCTAGTGGCAAAGGTTGAGTGGAAATTTTTACCAAACTCAAGGTGAAAATTTTAATGATATATGGTGGTTTACTTGTTTTGACACTTTCCATTATCAAAGATCTATACAAATGCTCCTCCTAGCATCCAAATCTGGTAGGAAAGTAGCGTTTTCATTTTGCAAATGAAAAAATGAAGGGGATGTCTACACTGTGAAGGCTATACTGGAATAGCTACAGTGCCATAGCTATGCTGGTATAACCCTGTTGAAGAGTTAAAGGGGTAATAGATTCATAGATTCCAAGGCCGGAAGGGACCACTGTGATCATCTACTCTGATGTCCTGTATAACAAAGGCCATAAAACTTCCCCAAAACAGTTCCTAGAGTAGATCTCCAAAACATCCAATCTTGATTTAAAAATGGTCAGTGAAGGAGAATCCACCTGCACCTTTGTAAATTGTTTCAATAGTTCATTACTCTCACTTAAAAGGTATACACATTATTTACATCTAACTGGTATGTGTGCACCATCCATGCATTGATCCCATGTCTTGTGGCTCTCTGTAAAGCATCAGTCTCATGCCTTGTTGCATACTGTGTGCGCGCGCACATTAAATGAATCTCTTGGTGTGTATGTCATAGGTTGACAGTAAACTTGGATGAATTCGCTTACTCCCACCTGTCTTCCCTGCATCGCCAGCCTTTTCTGCATGGGGGACCAAATCCCGATATGATTGGGGTTGAGAACAGGGGAAGTTCCAAAATTCATATTTGACTCACCCAGCATGTGGAGGAGGAGTGGGGTGTAAGGGGAAGAGTGTATCTGGATCTGGTGTTTGATCTCAGCTCATTATAAGGCTCAGGATTCTGAATCTCTGATTTCCCAGATCTTGGGGGTGTTGGAAACTTGGCAGGAAAATGCTGGGGTGTCTCTATTGGGGGGCTGCCTGGGAATATGCTTTGGCCCTGGATGCTATCGAGTCCTGTTCCGTTATGCAGTGGGATATGTCAGCAAAAGTGAAAGTAAAATGAGAGAGGCTTGGACTTGGTCCCCAGGAAGCTGCTTGGGGTGCTTTGGAGTCAAGGGGATGCAGAGACTCATGGGGAAGGTGGGAAGCGAGGTAACCCCCAAAGCTCAGCCCTCTGGGGAGAAATTTCAGTTGAGGAGGAAGCACCACTAACATGTGCAAGTCAAAGTGGCACTGGGGATATAGCCACTGGACCTATCAGGAGCGCAGCCAGCCCTGGAGGAAGTGCTTGGCCCTTGCTTTCCTCCTTCAACCACAGACCCCCAGGAAAGGAGGCTCAGCAGTGCCTGGTGCTGGTGGATACAGTGAGGCTCTGATTTGTAGCTGGGACAAGGCACAGGAGCTGCTGTGGGATGGGAAGTGGAGCAGTTGCTCGTGTCGGGGAGGCACCGGGGCCATGTGGAGTAAGAAATGGGGAGGGGCAAGGTCTATGGTGACTGTGATCTGATGCCTCCTCCTAGACCCCCTCTGCCTCCACATCCTCCCCTCTCTTGATTTTGCCCCTTACACGTCTCTGTGACTCTACATATATTTGCCTTCAACTCCTCTGCTTCCCCCTACATCCCTCAGTAATACTGTAAATGCTATTTACCCTAATTATTTAGTGCTTAATCATAATATATAGCTCAGTGTCATCTGAGAGATACATAAGTTCTAGTGAAATATAGTGCATTACCAAGGAGTAGCTTACACTACAAAGACTTTTTTGGAACAGCTGTACTGGTATAGTTATACCAGCAGAGCCCCTTAGTGGAGATGCAGCTTATGCCAGCAAAAGGAATACTCTACGGTTAAACCATCTCCCCCATGTATAGCTGTCTGTGTATAGTTTTTGTTTTGTTTTTGCTGGTATTGCTGTGTCAAGGGAGTGTTTTTTTGAAGTACAAGTTTCCATTGATAAATGGAAAAAATGTTCGTATTTATACTTTTGTGATTAACAGCAAATGTCTGGGGAAGATGAAATTGAGTTTTCAGATAAAGATGAACCTGATGGAGATGCAGATGGTTCCAGTGACTGTCCCACTATCCGAGCTCCCTTAACCTCCCTGAAAAGCCATCAAGGAGTAGTCATAGCAGCTGACTGGTTGGTTGGAGGGAAGCAAGCTGTAACAGCTTCCTGGGATAGGACAGCAAATCTGTATGATGTGGAGACATCTGAACTTGTCCATTCACTGACAGGTATCTCTTTGCTTATATGAAAGCTTTTTAAGGTTGCTGGTTTGTTTCTTGGTAATGATCACTCCTTCCAGACATCACAATCTTCTGGGTGAGTAATGTGTCTTTTTGGGGCAGGCAGGGACTTAAAAAACATAAGCATAAATATTACATATATGTATGATATTAATTCCTTGAATGCCATGAACATGTAATTCTTCTTCTTTGAGCATCTGGTATAACCTATAAAACTGAGCAATTGTTTTTGAAACTTAGTGCTGCAGTTTTTCTTAGTACTTAAGTTTTGTTTTTCATTGTTGTGCTACTTCAGGTAGCAGTAATATATGGCTACTTAATGGTGAGATTAAATGACTAGTCATTAAATTGTAACTTTCAAATACAGCTCTAAATGTCTGCAACAGCAGTAACATTACTAATTACTGTTACCAGACCAATTACTATTTTTTTACAAAAATTGTGTCTGATCAGCATTTCATTCCAAATGTTTGTGGAAATGAAAAGTCTTGCGTTTTCGTTACCTTAAATGTTCTCATCTGTGGTTGTAGGGCATGACCAAGAGCTAACCCATTGTTGTACACATCCCACTCAACGTCTTGTGGTGACATCATCACGTGATACAACCTTCCGTCTGTGGGATTTCAGAGATCCTTCTATCCATTCTGTGAATGTCTTTCAGGGCCACACAGAGTAAGTGACAGTTGCTTCACAGGTTTTTTACGTATTTAGAATGGATGAATGTATTGAGTTGATAAACTGTACCAAAAGATTCCTGTACTTTTTATGGTATTAAGACCATCTCTGCGTTAGTTTAGTAAACTTTGCCTTTCACAGAAACCCTTTAATACTCTCCTGCAAATGTAATACTGGCGTTAAATGCTAAAAAAGCAATGATTGCACTTGCTTGTTGTTGCTTACACAATAGGTCTCTTTTTAATTAGGCATCTTTAATAAGTAGTTCATACTCTTTACATTTAAATTTACTGTAGATGCTTGTTTAAGCAGTGTTGTGTGTAGTTTAGGAACACTGCTGTAAAATATTGATTAAGAGAAATTTCCCCTCCCTTATTTGTTGTAGTCTTAATTGTGAAATAAAGGTGACCTATACAGAGCCAAGAAAACAAATTCAAGGCAACATTTTAAGTTTCTATACTCTTTTTCATTTTGCAGTAATTTTTAACTTCACAACTTATACTTACAAAGTAGACGCATGCAAATATTTCAGACACTGTTTCATTATCCAAAATGACTGATGCGTTTAAAACTTTTGTGATGAGTTTTGGGATTTGATGCTGATCTGCTGGCTTCTACTGAAGATAAGCGGAGGTCACTGTATGAGTCTCTGAATATGGTAGCAAAGCATACCCTTTTTTGAAGTAAAACAGAAATGAGGGAGGTGAGGAAAGCAGAAGGCAAACATCCTAAATATCTTACCCAAATTAGAAGGTGGTATAGATTTAAAAGCCCTTGTTGCTTGTGAAGTTTGAAAGCAAAGCTTGACTACCAGAGGATGTGTGTGTGTGTGTGGGGGGGGGGGGGGGGGCAGGGGTTCCCAAAAGGTGAGCACTGACTTAAATAGGAGTTTCCTTTTATTCTCAATTAGATATTTCATTGTTGCTTAATGATGATTTGAAATTTGCTGTATCAATAGTTTTTGTAAGTGTCCACTTCCTTGTTCCAAACTCAGATACTTCCAAACTATGATGGGTGCCAGTGTATCACAATTAGCCATTTACTGATCTGTTTTTTCCTTACAGTAGAGTAGACTGAACCATGGCCTAAGGGCTTGAATTAGTTTGTGGACTTGTTAATTGTGGCCTATACATAGGAGGAATTAGGTTTTGTGCTGCTCATACTCCTTTCCCCTGTGCTTTAATACTCACAGATTATATACACTGAGCACAGAGGGAAGAAATGTGATTTGAAAATTAATGTTTTACTGGTGTACGAGATTCCTCACTATATGCTCAGTGATGTCAAATGGCATGAATCTTGAGAGGCTGGAAAAGCTGAAAAGGATCGAAGACTGAAGATGAAAAATTACCATCTGAACTATTGCAGATTGTGGTGGGGGCTATGTTTTTAACAGTAGAAATAAATTTTGACCATTTTTTGGTCACACTTTCTTCAGCTTTCAACCACCACTCCTGTCTCCATTTGTCTTCCCTTTTTGTGTCATTCTTTTCTATGTTTGTCACCTTTAGAGTCCTGCATCGGAGTTTGGTCAGCATTATCTTACTGATTTGATATAGCACTTTCTCTCCTGCCAATAGTTAATTTAGAAAACTTACTTTACTGTATATCAGTTTTGTTTATCTACTTTATTTTTGGTACCTTTTATGTCAGAAGAATGCTTTTACAGCCTTAGATCCTAGAGATGCTTAGAATTCTTACTTTGTGGAAGAGATGATGCTTTGCTCTAAGCAGGATATTATACCTGAGAGAGATCCTAAGCTCGCTTGTAAGAGGAAAGCGCGTAGTTCATAGATGACATACTTCTGGTCCGTTTGTCTGTTTTTATGTGCTGCGCATAAGTCCCACAATGTGCTAGCATAGCTGGGTATGCTCTGCTCCCATTATGTAGTGTGAGAGCAGCTCTTTTGCCTACTGGAATGAGGTATAACAGAGGGACTTGATGGAGGTGTAAATTACCCCATTGTAGCACTGAGAATTTTATTAGGCTCACACATTGAAAGGTGTAGTGCATTTGTCATGGTGACAAGGCTAGCTGCCTCTCCCCCTTGGGATCTCTGAGTGCAGCCCATCAGGTGTTGGGCCTCTTGTGTCTTTACCTATCCAGGATTGGAATTTTGCAGTTCTCCCACTCGTAGCCCATGTCATGGCTTAAAGTACTTGTGTATTCATTGTTATCAGCCAGAGGTCTGAGTTAGGCACCTGTAATTCTTCCCTTTGGGAGTCTGGACCAGTGGTATATAGTGACCATAAGCTTTCTTACATCAGAAGTACTGTTTGTTTAGCAGTAGGAACAAATCTTTTAGAGAAAAAGGGTTTTCAAACAGTCTGCTTGCATGTCTATCTTACCTAAAGTCTTAGTACTCCTTGATGGTAACCTAGAGTAGACCAAACTATTTCTTCATCCCCAACAGTTTACTGTGTGTAACTTGTTCCACTGAACAACTACAGGCTCTCTTGAGAGAGTGTCACTTTAAATTCTGGGAGTGGGTAGTTTTTTGTTTTTTGACCTGGTCCTTGGTGGTTCCGAGTCAGCATCGGTTTTGTAAGCTGGTTGAAGACAGAAGTAGAATCATAAAAGCTTACAGTTCTGGCATTGTTGCTTAACAATTTAAGTGTCAGTTTATGGGTGGGTGACTGGAGCAATCTCCTTTTTCCTGCGTGTATTCCAGAAATTTTTTTTCTAAGATACTATTCACACGACATCTTCAAGAACTGTCATGCTATTTCTAGGTTGATCAACTTGGGAATATGTAACCTATTTCTCTCTAAAAGATCCAAGGGAACATACAAGTACTTTTTAAAAATTGACTGTGTATGTGTATAAATATATAAAAGTAGTGTGGGTGATGTAGATTGCGAGGGATGGATAGTATTCACGTACATGATTTAACTTGCCACTTTTGTGTTTTTCCCCCTGAAGTCACAGATTGTTATTCCCACTTGTTCTGGTTGAGATTCAAAACCACGGTTGGATCCTGTTGGTACGTGGATCAGAAGTACATTTTTCTTCCCCCATCAGAAGAAATGATTTTTCAGTCACTTTTATCTCTAAAGTGGGAGTAAAACTTTGCCCTTCCTGTTCAAGTGGGGCCTAGCATCTGCTTTGTCATCTTAATCAGTAGGAGATAGTAAGTAATGTGAGACTAAATGTGAATTTCAGTAGAATTATAATTCAGAGGAATTCTGAATACTCTTCTTACCTGTGCCATGTAGAGTATTCATCACAGAGCCCTACAGTTAAATATTTGCAATATTTTGTTCAAACTGCTTTCAGATCATCTTCCAACAGATGGCACCATAACCCTTTATTAAATGCTGAAAATGTTCCATGACAACACTTGGGCACTCAGCCTCCAGAAGAGTCCCAAATTTAGGAAAAGAGAAAACAAACCAGAATGAAATTCTCCTCAAGCATCCATTGCTTTAGCCACTTAGGGCTGACACTACAGTTTCTCTGTTTTAGATAGGTTTATGCATCAAGCAGCTTCTTGTTTAAAAAAATTGGAAAGATGCATGAAGGAGGGAATCTGAACTAGATGTTATGATAAACTAAGCTTTTTCTCAGCACTATATTAAAACTCAATGTAAAATGGCTTAAAAGTACAGTGTCTCTGTCCACATTGAAGGAAAACAGTCTTTAAAATCTGTGTTCAGAGTGTAGTGTCACACGATTTTTGTTCGAGCATCTTTAAAACCATAAATTGCAGAAAGCATGTTTCCTGAGAGCTATCCTCTACGTCTTTCAAGTTGAACATTGAATTATTATAATGCTGCACATGTTCTAAGCTAATTCTAGAACATGTTACATTTTTATAAAAGCACTCTACATTAAAAATACTTCTTGAATTTTTGCTATGTGTCTTAAAAAGGTAACATAATGAAAAATTAGACTACCATTCATGTTTGATCCATGTATACCAGATGTAATTAAGAGAAATCAGTAGGGGCGATTCTCAAAGGTAACTAAATCAGACTTCCAGACTTGGTGTCCTAGGCACATGATAAAATTCTTGTCTTACTTTCAAAGAATGCATGTTTTTGGTGAGTTGTTCCAGTGGTTAATTACCTTCACAGTTAAAAAATTTGCACTTTATTTCTGAGTCTGAATTTGTTTAGCTTCAGCTTCCAGCCATTGTATTTTGTCTGCTAGATTGAATAGCCCTCTACTATCAAATTTCTGTTCTCTATGTAGTTAGTTACAGACTGATCAAGTCATCTCTTAACTTTCTCTTTATTAAACTAAACAGATTGAGCTTCTTGAGTCTTTCACTGTAAGGCATTTTTTCCAGTCCTTAAATCTGTCTCATGGCTCTTTTCTAAACCCTCTCCTCCAATTCTTCAATTTCCTTCTCGAATTGTGGACAACAGTACTGAACACAGTATTTCAACAGTGGTCGCATCAGTGCCAAACACAGAGGTAAAATAACCTCTCTGCTACTCCTCCTCTTTCTTCCCCAGTTTATACTCCTAGGATTTTATGTTCAGCTAATTATTCACTATCATCCCACAAGTCCTTTTCAGAGTCCCTGCTTCCCAGGATAGGAGTCCCATCCTGTAAGTATGGCCTACATTATTTACATTTGAATGCTTCGAAATGCGTATTGTTTGCTTGCAGCCAGCTTACTAGGCGATCCAGGTTGCTCTGTATGAGTGACCTGTCCTGTTCTTTAGTTCGCACGTCCCCAGTATTTTTATCATCTGTGTAATTTATTAGTGATACTGTTTTCTTCCAGGTCATTGATAAAAATATTAAATAGCATAGGGCCAAGAACCAATCATTGAAGACCTTGTTAGAAAGAAACCACTTGATTATTCCCTATTTGCAGTTAAACAGTTTTTAATCCATTTAATATGTGCCATGTTGATTTTGTATGTTCTAGTTCTTCTTCAAGTGCTTGCTCATGTCCATTCCATATTAGGTGTGTGTGCTCACCACATACACTGTGCTGGAAGTTTTTCCCTCCGCAGTATCCATAGGGGACCGGCTCTGGCGC